GCACAGTGTGCAGGGAAGTTCCTTGCGCGCATTAGTAGGAGTTTCATAAATCCCGTAGGCGAAAGACCGAAGCTGTGTAGAGAGAGAAAGTTACCGAGTTGTATCTCTACTCGCTCTGCTCGCTCACCCAGGACTCTCCACATCTCGGCAATTTACGTCACTGCGGCACTGCGGGTGTTGCCGAGGGTATCTCAGGGACCGATTAGTTTAGTACAGAGCTAACATATCCGCTCCAAAAACGCGGGGCAATTCTTCCCCTCCCCGACTATAAGAACCCACGCCCTCCAGCCCTCAAAGTGCTCTCCATATTCCCAAACCCTCTCTTCTCCATACCCATAATGTCCAACATAACACTCATCGGCGCGGGCACCATCGGCCTCTCCTTCTGCGCCCTCCACCTAACGCACCACCCAACGAGCAAGATCACAATCCATGACCCGCGCCCCGATCTCGCCGCCCACATCCGCACTCTCCTCCCTGGATATCTCCTCACCCTCTCCGTCGACGCCCTCCTCGCGTCCGGCCAGCTCCGCACCGCAGCAACCCTCGAGGAGGCCATCACCCCCGAAACCGACATCGTCCAGGAACAGGGCCCCGAGAACCCCGCCTTCAAGACGGCGCTCTGGCCGCGCGTGGAAGAGCTCGTCAGCAATGCCTGTCTCCTGTGGACATCGACCTCGGGGATCCCCGCGAGCGTGCAGAGCGTCGGCATGAAGGACCCCGGACGCCTCTGCGTGGTCCATCCGTTCAATCCGCCGCACATCATGCCGCTGATTGAGGTTGTGCCGTCGCCGCTGACGCCCGAGGCGCTGGTGCAGAAGGCTGTGGACTACTTTGAGGGCATACAGTACAAGCCGGTGGTGCTCCGGAAGGAGTGTAAAGGGTTTGTGCTGAACCGGCTGGCGTTTGCGCTGCTGAGGGAGGCGTGCCATCTGGTGCGCGAGGGCGTCACGGATGTGAAGGGGATTGACGAGATTGTTGAGAACTCGCTGGGGATCAGGTGGAGTATTAAAGGTCCGTTTGCGTCATATCATGATGGCGGCGGGAAGGGTGGGTTGGGCGCATTTGTGGCAAATCTGGAGGGGACGATTCAGAACTGTTGGGATGATGCGGGGACCTTGGGGATGCAAGATGAGATGCTAGGAGGCGGCGGAAAGTGGAAAGATGAGGTTGTGAGGCAGACAATGGAGGCGTATGGGGAGGTGAAGGAGCAGAATTTTGTTGTAAGGGATAGGGTGTCGAGGGATGTTATTAAGACTATCAGAGAGGGGAAGGCGAAGACAGATTAGCTAGGCCTCTTTGCATAATCGTTTGTATAAAACTAGATTTCATATGATATCTTACAAGAGCAAATGTCTTTATTTCGTTCTTTGGTGATTTCTCGGGGGTGCATCAACAATGAGTCCAAACCATCTGTAGCTATGGATCAAGTTAGTTCTCAATAACAAAAATACTCACCTGTAATACCTGACCCATCCCGGGTCTAAAACCAATGGTTTTGCCTGAGGAACAAAAAAAAAAAAACCATTCCAAGTCACACTCAATCACAAAAACTCACTCGTCTCAACCATCCATAACAACGACCTCAACCTCCCCATCCCACCTCCCTCTCCCACCTCCCTCCCACCCCCCTTCTCTCTTCCTACCGCCCTCACCCCCTCATACAACCGGCTAGCTTTCAAACACTCCTCAATCCCCCGGTCGGGGTAATCTCCACCAGGACTCAGAGATAACAGTCCTAGCGACCGGAGAGAAGGCCGACCCTATCACGTGATTTGTCATTCGAGACTTTTTTTCGGATTTCGGGCAGAATGGTGCCGGCGTGAGGGGTATATGAGCATGTTCTATCTAGCGTCATGTACCGCTAAAAGAAGAGAGTTTGGGGGGATGAATGAGGTTGCGTTTAAGTGGAGTTGTTGTAGGTAACCCTAACCCTTGAGAGTCATAGATTAGTACAGAGAATTCGTCAGTTTAGGTGGTAAAATTCGGCGTGGAGAGCTACTTAGAATGAGGTGAAACTAACTGTTTAGAGAAATGGGTGTGTGTTTTCCATTGAGGTCGAATTCACCCAGACTAGGTTAACGGCGGAGACGAGTGATAGATTATGACCTGAACGCTTTTTTTGTCAGCCGATGAGGACCAGTTCCTTGTTTGCTTGTTATAGGTATATTCGAATGTATAGAATAACATATATTCTTATACAGTGTCATCTTTAACGACCAAGCAGCGGTTTAGAGGAGCCATTTGACGAATCTGATGTCCTAACAACCTTCGAGAATGAGGGGAGAATACCTATGTGCCGTCTCTAGATCTCAACACGAGCCTATAGATGGTTTGTAGTTCGCGATCGCAAGCGTTTTGTAATTCGTGCGGCTAGCTACTAGCCGTGACGAGTTTATGATGGATTTTGGACTTCTTGAACCTGACAGAGATAGCAACATAAAGTGGTAATAGCCAAAATTAGAGAATGCAATTGCAGGGGACAGATCGTTAGTGATAAAGCAATGGCTAGTACAACTCAAACGTTATATAGAGAATGGAAGTACATCGAGATAATCGAGATCAAAGGGTGGGATAGCCAGACCTGAGGGCGTTAAATAGGTCATTGGAAACAGGCCTAGGTGGGACCCGAGTAGACTTGAAACGGCACGCCCAGAAAAGTACCGGATCATTCTGTATATATCGCTGCTCGTAAAGAATATCTTTAGACCAAGCTGTATTGTGGAGGATTTGTGGTCTATTACACCAAATAACTTTGTGTTTTTCCTTCTGGATCAAGGCCTGAACTGGACGAGGCTTTAGAAAATACCGGACCTCAAAGTCAAAGGTAGATGGGATTGATAAGTTGAGTGGATCGATCACGCTAGTTAATGGATGAGAGGTGTAGTCTGGATATCGTGTACATACATAAATATAATTAAATCGTTCCAGTGAAAGTACGCTACACGCGCTTACCCGGTCCAGTAGTACAAAGTACATGTATATATGAAGGGGCACGGCAGAAGAAGGCACTATGAGGCCAGAGAGGCGCCACATGTGCCACATAGCTTTTATAATATAATGCTATATATGTAGAATCCTTTCTACCATAGATCACCACTCTTTCCTCTCATCCCATCATTCTAGCGTTACAACAACCTGACACCGCGCGCGTGCTCGAGTCAATAGGGAGCAATTTTTAAGACAGGAAACCCACGGCCTAGCTATAGAGCTAGATCTGACTGACCCATACTCGAGTCATTAGTATCTAGGAATTGGGGTGGTGTTCCATGGTCCGGGAGCTCGCTTGGTACGCCTCAGCAACGACATAGACTAGTATTCTAATATCTGGTACAAGCAACTTGAGTCGCTGATGTGAATTTAGATGCCAAGTTATTCGATGTCCCTACACACTAAGACTTGCATCTTCTACCCGGAAAGAAGTTTGGACTAAGTGTATGCTCATATCTGCTTAGATAACATCTAAAGACGCGTAGAAGTCTAGTCTCTGGGGTTTCTTTCCGCTTGAGTCTCATAAGGGTGAGGTTCTCGATTCGGACGATGCGTTAACCTTCCCGCGGATTATAATGCATTGAGAACCTACAAGTTATAACCAGGTTAAGATTTTGACTCATACATGTAGGTTTGTCGTATCTGCATCGGACGATCTTAACGCAAAGCCCTAAATTAAAGGTATCTTGAAGACTAGCTAGGAGTGGCTAGTTGAATACATTGTACATACGTGTTAATAGGGGGTAACCAAATTTCCCAGGACTGTCCTGGTTTCTGGGGGATAACATATTTGATTGTGGCTCTGATTTCTGGGATTACAATTGTAGCTGTCGATAGGGGTTGGCTTGGAGCCAATCGCTAACCGCACTCTGAAGTATCCTTCTTCACCGGAACCCTCCCCTGGTATTTATAGTGTGTACACGCTTACCAGCATAAGAACCAGAAAATGCAGTTGCTCAGGGCAAGGATAATTTGTATGGAGTGGCGCCGTTCTCTCATACAAATAATCCCTGTTTCCGTTACTTTCATTTTCTGGTTCAATTGCTGGTAAGCGTGTACTTTACACATCACTACGTATACGCGTCGATCATAACCCCTCTCAATTCGGCCCCCACTTCGATCTATTTCTTTCCAGGTTCAAATTGCTCATTATATCAACTGACGTTTCAAACACAGTTCCGCAGCGGGTTTTGTCTCGTTATTATCCTGCATTCCTCCTTTCATAGGTTGTGGAATTTTAGAAGTACATATTCTATGGCGCGAGAAGGCATAGGGGGTAGGTGTGTCAACTTCAGAGGAACCTTTTTTGTATGGGAATTAGAGAAAATTCCACCGTTAGGCTAGGCGCTAGTACCATTATGTGAGTAGATCTCCCAACTTCTATAGATTGATTGGCTGCAAACGCCGAAGTTTACACACCTACCCACCATAGCTTCTCGAGCCATAGTTACCTCCACGAAATAGTGCCCGATAAAATATTGACATGAGTCGTGTAACCCCGGGTATGTGTGGCGTTAAACGTTTGGGCAAATGTTACCATGCAAGTGGCACACAACGTTTAGTATTTTGGTGTCGGCGTTTGTCTCGGCTAGGATCAGCCTTATGAAAACAAGTCTTATCTAACTTGTCCTAGTTTTGCAGGTTTCCGAAAACCGAATTTGGGACGCTACCAATATTCAGGATTGGCATGAAAATTCCCAAGGGACGCACACGCGTATTGGAAAAAGGGAATGAATTCTCCCTACCTAATGAAAACAAAGAAAACAATGCGATGACCCACATCTCTATGATACAATTCTCCAGAGGTAAAAGACAAAAGAACTCCTTAAATGCGCCGCAACCTTTATGCTAATACCCTCGCAATCCTGCGACCTGCCATGACGTGATCAACAACGCCCGTAAACATCACAAAAACATTGATTATATTCAGGGCAACTTCAAAAACACGCAGCTGAGTCAGTTTCAAGATAACCAGGATCATGGTTTGGAGCAGGGAATTGCTTCTAGACTTACAAAACATTAGACTCGCCAAAGATAATATGCCACATATACTCCATGATTCTCCCGCTGGTTGCATTATCCAGGGGTGTGGTTAAAATCCAATTCCGGTACTGCTCATATTCGGCCTTGGTCCGCGCTAGTATCTGGTCTCTACTAACAGCAAATTGTGCGCAACATGCAGCACCCACAGTCTCTGGAACCGGCGGACTCGTAGAAGAATTTCCAAACATGGCTTTCCATGCGATGCTATAGTCGTGCTCCGCTGTTCTATCTGCGTCTGTATTCCGGAACGGCTGTATTTCATCCGGGCAACCCGGAATCCAATTGCATCGCAGGTTAACATAACCCCTCTCCAGAACTGTGTCGAGACGAAGTTTTTTAAGCGATACAACATTAGAGTAGCCTTCGGCGTCGGTATGCCATGCTTTTGGGTAGCCATCTTTATGAGAATGGACAAAGGCGCTGACTGGGGGGAGGTTATCATAGAAGTCGATTATATACGACAAGTAAACCATAGCCTCATTTCCCTTATTCTTTGGAGGTTGTAACCTGGCGGTAGGATCATCAACTTTATATATGACTGGTTCCCAACTATCACCCAACGTTAGTTTAATAATCGCGAATTTATGGAATGGAAGCCTACTCTGCAAGCTCATGGACCCATTCTGTGTTCTCTTTTTGGAGCTTTGCCATTACGACGGCATTCTTCGTTGGTGCGAAAACATTCTTTGGTGCGGTCTCTGGCGGCGGTGGTTCCTTGAGGACCTCGTTTTTGGCCCCCGGAGGAGAAACTGGAGCTGGCTCAGCGACCTTGACGATTTCGCCGCCTGAAGGTGTAGTATGAAAGAAAGCACTTGAGATTCCCAGGTACCAATGACCAAAAAGTAAAGAAAAAAAGGTGAGTCCAAGTAGTGCAAAAGCCCAACGGTTTCGTAGCTTTGGTAGAGGAAGCATTTTTTAAAGATCGATAGATCGGTGTTGAAGGGAGGAAGTCGGTAAAAACGGATTTCACTGCCAGTAATAAGGAGATGGAATTACGCGACAAGGCTCCTGTTTTATGAGGGGTCATATTGTGAGACTAAAAACAATGCAGCGCTTGTTACCAGGTGTCGGGATCCGGCATCACGACGAAACAGGGATCTTTCAATACCGCCCAGCTATGACAAAGCTGTGAATGATAATATTAGTTGAATGTGGGCTTCTGAGACATCTCGATTTAGTAATCATACGTTGTGGCTGGTGCCTTGCGATTTGCAGTATCCACATCAAGCTGGGTATCTCTTGATTGGAGCCATAGCCTTCGAGATGCTAACATGCCTACAAGTCATGGGAAAACAAGATATTCCTACAAGCCGTACCCAAGGGGGGTTGTTCATCCCAAAACGTATATTTGAGGCTGTGCTGGAGACTCATATCATTGGAATGTTGGTCTGAGATATTATGCTATGGCCAGTGCCCTCTGATGCTACAAGCATGATACAATTTAATCTCACTGTTATCTCCTTGCTCAATTAACGTTATTCTTAGGTTAACTAAATGCAATTCTCATCCCGTGGATTAGTATACACCATGTCGTATCCACTTCATGCAGCACGGACACCGGACCTTCAATTCTAGATACCAAAAGGTATAGTAGGTATGGTCTCAAGACCCACTAAGGAAACACATTTATAGAAATACTAACACCTGCTGGTCCAAGGCTTAGATTCTCTTTCTAATTAAATCGAACAATTACTAATACTTTATCGGCTTCAAAAAGATAGTATTTCTGCCTATATGTAACGGTAAAAAAGTAAATTTGAGAATTTACTATCCCAAATAAGTAAGCGGTCGCCTACATGATTCTTCAGGGCGAAAGCCCTGCTAGATATCGCTCACCTCATGGGTACTCTCTACAAATTTCTCAAGCTTCCAAATCAACGCTGATCGTCATCCACTTCCAAAAATCCATGAAAACCCTTCGGGTACAATTTCTTTACCTCAATGTGCTGTTTGGAACATAATGTCTCCGAAATGTAAAACGCGGTACTCGGGTCTAGCACTGGCAACAATCTCTGGCTCGTTAGCCAGACCCTAGGCCTGGAAGGTTTGCTTCTATGCGAGATTGAGGCTTGGGGGAATTTCGAAACAGCAAGTTAATAATCCTAGCCGCTGAAGTTGATAGCATGCACATGGGCATGGATGCATGCATACCACGAGGGAACTCTTGTTCCTATTCAAATTGCATAGACAATGGATCCTGGTTTTATTGCGTTGAGTAGTTACTTAATATTACTTGCCCATCCCTCAGTCGCTTATATGACCAGTGCTTAAAACTTCAAGGCTTTCCCTCCCTTTGTTATTTTTGCACCTTTAGTAGGAGTTGTATTGTACTGCATTTGCAGCTTGGGCATCTTTTTACCTCATCCAAAAGCATGTTTCTCACCAAGCACTGCTTCTCAGCAGTATCAATATCATTGACCCTCCTCTCCCTCCTCCCGTCTCTAACCACCGCAGAAAACTGTAGCTCACTCCCCCTCGCAATTCCAATAACAAATGTCACCCTCTCCACTGGCTATATCAGGCGTGGAATCGCCGCATCACTAGGCACGCCCGCCCAAGACTTCTCAATGCGCATCTCTACCAGCCTTAACAGCACCGTCTTCACCACATCTACAAACTGCGTTGACAGCTCTACCAGCACCGAGAACCGCTGCATCATGGTCAAGGGTGGTGTCTACGACCGCGACAACTCAAATACTTGGTCTGGGCCCATGACGAAGCAGGAGTTTCTCAAAGTCGCCGCCGCAGACACTCTTAAGACCGTCGATACTCTCGGCGAGGAGACGTTCAAAATCGATGGCGTGACTGTGACAAGCTTGCCGATTGGCGTGGAGGATGGTACGGATATAGGCACGAGCTCTCTTGGGCTCGCCATGAACTCGAGTCTGGTGGATGCGATGGTGGACGCGGGGGATATTCCGTCGAGGATGTGGGGAGTGGATTATGGGTGGGTGGGTGCAACGTCGGATACGTGGGCGGACGGAGAGCTGGTGTTGGGAGGATATGATAAGGCTAGGGTGAAGGATGATAAGCTGTACTCGCAGGCGTTTCCGGCGAATCTGGCGGACTCGGATGGGTGTGCACTGATTGTCTATATCACGGGCATCACGATGAAGAATAGTACGGATAGTCTGGATCTGATGGAGTCAAAGGGGGATTCTTTGAGGTGGGTGAAAATCTAGTTGTTAGGATCATTGACTTTATTTGGAGTTTAGCGGGAAGTATTTGGGGGAACTAATGGCTAATGGGAATTATAGGGCATGCGTGTCACCCGACTATGATTTGATGACGATGCCCTACGACTTGTTTACAGTGTTCAACAACGCAATGAACGGCGTCTACGACAACCGTACCACCGGTGATTTCTACCTCTGGGGTTTCGAATCCGACAAAGCAAAAGGGTAAGTCTCAATCTCAATATCAATGTCCAAAACCTATATAACACACAACTCACTAACCTACCCTTAGCTACGATGGCGATATGGAGATCAAATTCTCTACGGGCCTGACCGTGACAATCCCCAACCACCAGTTGATCCTTCCCTACCGCGACTACGACAACGATGGCAAGCCTTACATTAAAAACGCCAAACAAAACGTTCTCATGATCAACAGCCTACAACAGGTAAACCAAAACGATCTCCCGCTCCTCGGCCTCCCCTTCCTCTCCTCGGCATACCTCGTCGTCGACCCCGACCAGGGCAGATTCCTCCTCGGCGAATCCCAGCGCTCAACAACATCCAACCTCGTCGCCGGCTCCCTCGACCTCTGTCCCGCCAACGCCGACTCCACCCCCACAGGGATCATCAATAGCCCCTCATCCACATCCACGAGCTCCATCTCTGCATCAGCAACAAATTCGACATCATCCTCTTCATCCTCGGGCGCGGTCATCGGCGGCAGTATCGGCGGTGTTGCCGCTGTGGCGATCATTGGCATCCTCGCATTCGTGTTTTGGAGGCGCTCAAAGAAGCAGAAGATGGACGAGGTGGAGAGCAGCGGCGCGACCGCCGGCGAGACAATGCATATGGTGAGCGTGCCGCCGGAGCTGGACGGCAGCTCGACCTCCGGAAGTATGAATGTGGCGGGCGCGGGAGGGATTATGGAGCACTATAAGCCGCCCGCGGTGTCGTATGAGCTGCCGGAGACGATACATGAGCCCGTGTATGAGGCCGACTCGAACCCGGTCTATTACACGGAACAACCACAGCAGCAGCAGAAGGAGCAGCAGCACGCGAAATGAGCGGCGCCGCTTGCACTATCCTTTATTTTCTTTTCTTTTTGAGTGTATATATTTTGGAGCGTGACTTATGTAGGTATCTATGGATTAGCGAAGTAATATGAGTTATAGAAGTATATACATGTAGGTTGTTTGAAAGCTTGATTTGCTATTGGGATGTATAGTACAGAGGCGGGGGACGAAGTACAGAGCGGGCGGGTTACAGTGCGTCGAGCGCATGCAATACAGTAATGAACAACGAAACATAAACACCAAATGAAGCCCAATCTACAGTATCCAAACCGCTCGCGAACTGCGAATGCACGCGGTACGCACCTCGAAACAAACAACTGTATTCTACCCACCACATCATGGCCACCCGACCAGCCAACACTCGGAACACCCGGCCGGCTGCTGCCTATGAACCCGCACCAAGTATCCCCATTGCGTGGACAATGTGGGGGCCTAAAACTGCAGCATCTGTACTCTACCGGGTGCTCTACCGGGTGCTCTACATATGGGTATTGCCATCACGTCAGCAGACACATTCCTCCAACGAGCCTCATCCCACGTATAGGCCAACTAACCCACTACTGTGATAAGCACTGCATTGGTGCTCTAGAAGAGCTAGCTAGCGAGTGTTTATATGGGTGGCTTAGCCTTTCCCATGTCTCTCTGCTCTAGCTTAGAGCAAGCGGTTCCCCGGCCGGCACAAAAGCCGAGCGGTCTCTCCCTTTCTTGATGTCGAACGATGGATCGTTAGCTAATGCGCGTGGGGGACAGGGTTCACCCATGCGGGTGGAAGATCCATGGGCTACTGCAGGCAGCGCCAGGGGCGTTAATTGCTGGGGAGACCAGGTACCTACGCTAGAGAGATCGAGAAAAGGATGGAAAGAAAGAAATAAGGGTAGAAGGAAGGAAGTAAAAGCTTGGTCTACGGAGAGGCCGGCTGCGGTGAGCTTAATTGTGCGGTGTGGGATGATGAGTGATTTTCGGTGATTCGAGGGGAGGTGTATGTAACTAGAGGAACGGCGGGCTGTGGTTGGTTGGTGTTGTAGTTCTTTTCCGGGTAACTAGTAATTTAAATACTGGCGTAGCTTCATGGGCTATCACTCGCATGAATACATGAATGGTGCCAGGTCGTCTTTAGTTTAGCTCTGCTTGGCAAGGAATCGTCTGAAGTCAAAGAAATCACTATGGAAGATTTTTCCCAAATGTTATGTTCGGGGGGGGAGGGGGGAGTGGGCCAGCCCGCGAACCAGGCCAGTTACAGTCCATCTGGGCGGCGGGCGGGTCAGTTATCTGGTACTTGTGGTCTCCGTCCCAGAGCAGACCGGTACTTTATACAGTTGCGAACCCCAAATTATATTATATAAAAGAGCTATTTTCCTCGGAATATAAACCCACTTCTACGATTAGGAAACCGATGGTATGGACACTGGGATCTCTCTATAATATGGATATTTGAATGCGCTATCTCTTGATAAATTGCTATGTTTACCCCATGTTATTGTTGGCTCCGGATCCTTTGAACGCACGATTTGAGTTACTGCCGCCGTCTATGCACACGTTGAGCAAGCGAAGCATGGATTCCAACTAATGATAGTAGGGGGTGAGTGAGGACCACGAGATATCTCCTCCGGAGCCGTTACTTCGATATCCACCCGCCGTGAGGCGCCCTGAAGCACCGGAAGCTTTGAGGTCAACTAGCATACTCGAGTTGTAAGATACCTCCTTCGCTGGATGTTCTTAAACCTCGTTAAAATTTGTTGTTATGCCTCGGCGCTAGCGCTGGAGATGGGGTTTAAGCTTCCTATGGTCTTGTCGGAGATGCCTTCGAATTCTTTTTGATGCTTTGGGTGTTGAATGTCCTTTATCTCGTGTCTTCTCTCCACTCCGCTACTTTAGGTACCCACCACCGTCGATTTCTGGAGAAGACTCTTCTCGTTCTTAACGGGACGCACCTAGATAGTCCCCGGTTACATGTAACTGCATATAAGGACCTGCATACCTGTACTTTGAAGCAATGTGCGATGACGTACATGGCCGGACTTCATGCTCTTCCAGCTCACCCACCGGTTGGGGACTTGCCCTTACTTAAGCTTGCCCCCCCCCCAAAACTCCTTGATTCGGCTCTAGAAGGCGTTTCTACGGCGTCTCACCCTCTTTCCTGCTCACCACGAATGATCGCCCAAGTTTCTGACCTCTTTCTCACCAACAGGGCTAATACTAGAGTCAGCACTGTTATGATGGCGTGACCCCGTCTTGGGACATTCGCATCCTTTCCTCTCCCCACATCTCCAACAGGAGGTAACAGGTCCGGATAGCTCACCGGCAATTTTTTCTCCTACAACCTTCCCTCCTGTTTTGATCTCTTCTTGTGTGTTAGTATCCTACCGATTTTTGTATGTCCTGTTTATGATTTTGTACGTGGCTTGTTTTTTTTGTCTTTTTAAAGTTTTTCTTTCTTTTTTGATATATATGCATTTATGCATAGCGGTAACCCCGCTATAAAATCGCAATTAGCGGCCCTGATGTCTGTTTTATTAGTCACTCCATGGTGGTAATGTCTATAATGATACAGGCTTCCGCTGCCAACTCAAGAGTCCACTATATGTATATCAAGCATGTCAACGAGGTTATAAGCTCGAGACTGGATGAGATTGTCAAAGGCTCAAAGACTGAAAGTAGAGAGCATCTCAAACGAGTACTAACCCCCTTATAGCCGTATATAACTAGGCCATATGAGAGTAATAAAGCCTGATTTCGATGCCGTTGTTTGAAAGCCCGAACCTACAATCGTCCTCAAATGGTGATAGTAGAGCCCCAAACCTTGAGTTATTCTACACCACAGGGCATATTTTCATCTCCATTCTTTGCCGGAGATACTATAGCCGATCCAGATCTTGGTTGCGGGGTTTGTCGCGTCATAGAACATCACTCGGGTGCCAAGACAACACACACACCCACCCATGCTGCCCCCTAGCTTTCAGAGTCTGGTAGTGACCCATAAACGGGACAAGCTTTTGTACGCAGAACGCTCGGTGGAGACTCTGTTTGAGATATTGGTGGGTATGAGCTATGTGCTCGCGAGTTTTGCCGGGACACGTGAGGGAGCACATATCTGGAAGCTTCCTCTTTGCAGGATTTTCATGGGTATCCTGGTGTCGCAGCCTAAGACTGCTCCTTGCGGAAGCCATGGAAGTTCCCAAAGGCCGCAAAGTCTATCCTGGGCTAGATGTTATCTGGTAAGCTGAGGTCGAGGGGTGAAAGATTCCGTGCCGGTGGAGTTGGAGTCAAAGAGTTGGTAGTTTTCTCTCTTTGGGTTTATACCCCGTTTGAATCGTACCTTGATGCCTTGACCTATCACCAGATACATGGGTTAGATGCATGCTGGGGCCGTTCACGACCACGGCGTTTTAAAAAATAGATGTTATGAACAGATTTGTATTCGCGGAAATGACGATGGCTGAATTAGAAATCGTTTGTCAAAGTCCAGCGGTCGCCTTGACTCATGATAATGAATCGCACGCGATGAGATTTCCCGGGACTCAAGCTAATCTGCGGGTATGTTCTGGGAGGGGTCATAGAGGGGATGACAGGACTTCATAACCTAAACTCGTTGGCGGTGCTACCTCTGGTGTCGGTTGAAAAACCACCATTCTTTTTTGAGATGGTGGTACGTTCTTTGGTATTGCGAGTGTTGTCACGTGGACGATGGGCCAATATTTCGCTGGAGTGGAATGAATACTATGTTTATAGGTGGATATGTGGACGAATAGATCTGATGGGCGATAAAAGAACACATTATAAGCCGCTCGTATGGTAAGGGCATGAGACTAGGGCAAACATTATTTGATGCTTGGGTGTTAGCTTGTGGCCTCATGGAGCATCACTCGCGCCAAGAAATAATATTCTAACCTCACCATACACAACCAGGGTTTATATGTATCTCATTCAACCCTCCCCACCATTTTCACCCTCTGGTGGACAGGATATAAAAAAATCCGTTCTGGTTCTTGGATCCGCTGACATAGCCTGAAACCCTATCTGTTATTAATTGTAGTCTGCACTAGACGAGGCCTCATTCTTGGCCATGGTATCATCCGGGACGCCGACTGACTCGCGATCGGATGCTCTACAAAACCAAAGGGTCCTAGTCCTCCCAGAGTACTCGGTAGTCATTTGATGCTTCTATCAAGGTGAGTATTTAGCTTATTTTAATAGAACCGTGTTAACCAGATAATACAGGCGTTGACTCTAGTCCTACAATACGGGAACTGCATAGCCCTTCTGTTTTCCACGATGTGCCTTGACCGAGTTGCTCCGCTTGCCAATAGAATACCCGGGCCATTAAGTCAACACATATCTCAACGGCTCAATCTATTTGTCGGAATTAATGAATTAAACAAAAAAAAAATCTATTTGTCGGTCTACATCTCAGCCATCACAAAGCTCATCTGGAAACTCACGAGTGATGAAGCTTGATAATTGATTATTGACCTCTACTGTGAGTGATATATTACACAAAGTTCAGGCTAGGCGAAGGTCCTATCACCGCACAGAGACCAAAGTCTAACGAGGAGGACCTGTATGTCTCGACGCGTACGGAGCAGCAATAGAAATTGCGGGCGGCTTGCCTCCTACTTACCCCCTTGATGAAGTTATTAGAGCCAACGTGAACATAATCTCAAAGCTATAGAGAAGTTACGCTTTGTATTACACTTGTGATTGGCATGTTCGAAATGTTTCCGGCAACATACTTGGTTAACGAAACAGGAGAACGTGGTGTAGTACTCCATTCATTAAGCTCGAGCTTATGAAGTTCTCCGGTTGAGCGGACCAAGTTCACTCCAGTAGCCAGATCAGCGAGAACACATATATACAGGTGGAATATCTACGTGAATTGCGTCATAGGTAACCACGCGCTATATTCCCATAAACACCTCTAGATCCTATAAAGTGACTATCGAATTCAATTAGATCAAAGAATCAAAGTGAGCATTTGTATATCATAATGCGCGGGATTTCAGGTAGTTTGTCCAGAGCCTGCCATTACGAGGCCGGACGCTTCAAGCCCAAGACCAAGCGTGCACCCAAGGAATTGATTGCACTTCGTCGTGCACGCGTGTCGAAAAGTTTAATTCGAAACAAAGATTTAGTAGAATACCCTAGAAAGTGACGTTTTGGTGTAGAATTCCCGTAAGTGATTGTAGGTCATTTAAAACTCCAGCTGGCCAGTTCGTCGCATATGCCTGCCCTAATATCAAACGTTAGCTCAGAAACCGAAGCCTGGCCAAAGCCACGCCGTTCTGCGATTCATTGCAAAGAGCTTCCTCTCATTCTTACTTCTCGTGATAACACCTAGAGAGGACGGGAGTGAGAGAGCATTCCCTTCGCATCAAGTAAGAACGGTACTATGTATTCAGTCTGCCCCGAAACGACTGCCTGCCGGGTATTTTACATCTTTAAGTTTCCTCTTTGATTCGCCTCCCGCGTTAATGGTGATCTATTACTCTATGCTAGTACAGTATGGAGGTAGATAAAATAGGAGGTCTCGCATTTGAAGATGTCTAATAGACTAATGGTATCTAAAATCCAATCTTAGAGAACGAAGCATGGTTACGTGTACAAAAAAGAAAACCTACAGCAGAGTTTGTGAAATTCAAACATCCGCGTCTAACCTGACCAGCCGTCATAGTCCCACTCTATATATCACAAGGCACATATCAAAAATCATATCTACCAAACTCCATCCAATTGCTATTATCCCAGAGCGCTCCCAACATCTCAAAAAGCACACAAATCATAATACAAAACCACACAAGAGTTAACTACTACTACATGCACACACACGGCAAACCATGTCCTCAACTTAAATACTAACAGTACAAGAAACAAATTAACGATTGGGTTATTCTCTACCCAGAGATTCTCCCTCCCATTCCGCGGAATATGTTTATCTTCTTGGGGTAGGAAAAGTTGAAAAGACACCAAACATAGGAAACACGCCACCGTGGAAAGAAGCTCGAGTGGATGATAAATCCCCTTCCCAACCCTCTCTCTCCTCGTGCTGTGAATAATCGGTCCAAATCCCGTGGAAATAGCAAGATAATAATAGCTCCCATAATGAGAGGGAGTGAGGAAAGGGGAAGCCATATAAAACCAATAAAACAAGGAAGAAAAAGAAGATATCCAAGCAACTATGCAGGAGCCAAAATCACCAAGCCACCAAACCGCCGACCAGTAAGATATTGGAGATAGAAAGAGAAAGAAAATATAAGACCGTAAACAGAGGAGAAGGGGTCAGTGATGAGGAGGACCGGGGGAGAAGAAGTAGAATATATACAGTAATGTAAAATCATTGATTTTGTGCTAATATTGTTAGCATAGCCAGCCCCCCCCTGGTAACCGCGAAAATGTCAACAGAAAAAATAATAAAAACAAAATAGAAAGAAAAAAGAAAGCCGAACATCTAATAACACCGGATTTTTTTATATCGAGGGGTTGGCTGCGCTGATGTTTCACATCAACCCCATTCCTAGAAACCTGACCGTGCTCCATTCTTCTTCATCACTACCTTCACAACAGCATTCATCGTGGTCATAATCGCCAAAACGCCTCGTTTCAAATCTTTAGAGATTTTTTCCCATCATGCAATTTTTTAATCCATTAGTGAGTTGTTAAAAGTGGCATTTCACTCAACGTCATCCACCGGAGCAGTATCCATATCCTTCTCGAGCTCCACGGCCAAGCCTTGCCCAGGAATGATAAGCTCTTCCTCACCCTCCTCGCCGCTGGTAAACTTTCGGTCGCTAACATGGCTTTTTGTTCCACCGGCCGTCCAGATCTTATGCTCGAATGATCCTTTCTGCTGACCCTCATCGTGCTTGTAGATACAAGTAGGGTTGAGGCAAGGGGTGAACTTGCACTTGATCTCAGCGTGGGTAAAGTGGCAGCCGGGGCGAGTACAGCTAGGGCCGTTTCGGCAAGGTGGCATAGTGGTAGTAGGACTATTTATCGGGTCAATTATTGAAACCAAAAGAAAGAAAGAAAGAAGAATGTCACTAGGGAACTTACTGTTTATAAGGGCAAGCAGGATTCGTACAGTTAGGAAAGTACCTGCACTCCTGGTCTGGCTTTGGAATACTTGGCCTTACAGCTGCTGGTGATGGATGGGACCCAGTGCACTTTCGGTTTTTACAGGAAGCGGCAAAGGGGCACCTTTCTCCACTAACATATACAGCCCCACGTCCTGGTAAGGCGACAGGCGAGGGATGTCCAAATTGGCATTCTGGCTTTGTACACCCTGCACTGAACTTGCAAGGGATCTCCTCAGGCTTCGAGTTCGGCGGAGTTTGGGAACCCTGGTCTCCTGATGATCTTTGATCCATTGACATGTCATCACTGGTATCCATTCCTCCGTTATGCGTTGATGGCTCCGGAGGCGCTTGTATGCGATCAAATAATGATCCTCCTCCACCGGCCCGTCGGGGCTGCGATAGATTGTTTTGGTATGGGTCCTCGGGACCCATAGGCATGCCAATCGGAATCTGGTGGTGCATTGGCCCACCCATCTGACCTCCCATAGGCCCCCCCATAGGCCCTCTTACCGGTCCTCCCATCGGTCCGTTCATCGCGTTCATCGGCCCACCCATAGGACCACCCATATGCCCCATCGGCCCCCCCATTGGCCCCCCCATTGGCCCTGGCATCTGCATATTCATATGCGGTGGTGGGTTTTGTCCTGGAATGAACGGAATCATATGCGACTGTTGCTGAAACATATGGTAGAACTGCATTTGCTGCTGCGGGTTCAAGTTCCCAAAATTTCCTGCAAACCCATTTCTGCCGCCGCCCATGCGATTTTGATGGGGTCGGTTGTTGTTCATACCTCCCCGCATCGGCCCTTTTGACGGTCCCTTAGGAGGCTCGCGTTTATGGGTATCGATTCTACCGGACGCCCCCGCATTGACGCGATGAAGGGGGTCATCCGGCTTCCTCTCCATAGCTTTGAACAGCTGGTTCATCAATCGCCGGTTCGGCTGGTTCGTCTGTCTCATCGCTTTTGGCGCAGTTGGCCTAGAGAAAAAAAATGTTAGAACGTCACGATTACCGCCACAACGTTTTTTTTTTTTTTTATCACCAGGCGAATTTGACTTACACTCCATCCTGGGGAGCGATCTCATCCATCAGATCCCCCATCTCGTGATCTAACGAGGCTGACACCGGAGGTTGTTGTGCTGGCTGCTCATTGCTCGGCTCTGCCTTCTGCTGCTCCGTCATAACACTTCCCTTCAAAGCGTCCACCTGCTCGAACAACCATTTAGAAAACTCAGTTGCGCTAGAGTCCTCGGGGCTAAGTCCAAGAAGATCACCCGACAACTCTGACGCAATCTGTTCCTGGTTCTTCCCATTCACGATCATGAGGCATATGTACTCGCTGAGGGGAGAACTGTCCTCGCCACCGATGCTCCAGCCTATATCCACCAGCTTTGGCTGAATACGGGTCGCGAGTGCGTCCGTAAGTGAGGTGTTCATGACGAGGGCCATGGTGCGGTTAGATTTGCAAGTTGTGAATAAACGAGGGTAGTTTGAACTGAACGGAAAAAAATCGCGTCTATGTTCGGAGAGCTGGATGCGCCTCTCGGAAAGAGAGAAGGCGGTACTCGCTCACAGGGGCAAACGAGTCCGTGTTTTTGGGGTCGCAGGCGGGCAGGCAAACAGGGGGCTACAGATGATGAGGGCTAGGTGCAAGGGGAAAAACGATCGTATATTAAGCTGTTGGCTAGGTACACGAGGTGATCGATAAAGATGAGAGGGGGTGGGTGGTGTTAGAGGCGAGAGAGTCTTCTATGGAGAGAAAGAGAGAGTTGTGTGATGTGAGGTGGGAAGAAGCTTCGGGGGATGACTGAGCAGCCGCTGCCAAGGCTCAGGGCAGACACATCTTACAAAGTTACATACCACCAAACGACTTGATACTTCTCTTCTGGGTACTAGTAGTTCACCACAAGCAAATGGTGTAACGTGCATACATCATGTCCTGCATCATTGCATGGAAGTCTGACAGCGAACAAATTGCGCACTACTCAAAACACATTCAGGCACACAACACGATTACTTTAAACCACTTCACCTCATAGCCGCGTAGGAAAGGGTGAACTACATACTTTCACTGCAACTCACTTCACAATAGTATAAAATATACAATTCTCATAACGTCGTTAACATTCGCACTAAAGTAAATACATAGAAAAGAAAACCATCTCCAAACGAGTGCCAGGACCCCTGAAGAAAAAGGAGAAAAAATCATCGAAAATTTTCGAACCCTTGCTGCCTAGAAGCTCTGCACTAGCACTTGGCGGGCTTGAAAGAAAGCACCACGTCTTCTCCCGGCGACCCAACAATCTCAGTCTGCATCCACTGTACCTTCGTCATCCGTGGCTCAATCGCCTCAAACTCCTGGAACAGTCTAACGATCGTGTAACCCATCTCTGTCAGGGCAAATTGCTGCCCAATACAGATCCGTGGGCCGCCGTTGAATGGGATATATTGCCAGCTCTTGGGTACCCTTTTTAATGTTAGTCTTTCACCTTTGTTTATGGGTTTTGAAGGCTGGATTTGAGGGTGTACCATTTGCTCCACCTATCAGGGTCAAATTCATTGACGCCGGGCCCAAAGATATCTTCTCTTCTTTGCATTGTCAAGGTTGAGTATGCGATGGGTGTATCTTTGGGAACTCCAACAGGCTAGAAAGAGATCAGTCACCAAGCTATGAACTTAACGAAGCAGTGTCTTACTTCGTTCCCATCAACACCAGCTCCGCGAGGCAGATATGTATCTTTCAAAGAAGTTCTGACATTAAATGGCACTACCCTCTAAGTTAGTGACCCCCCTATATAATGATGGGGAAATAAGGATTTGGCCTACCGGCAGGATATAATCTAAGAGTTTCATTAATGATTGCTGCCAAATATTTCATATTCTTCAAATCTGAGTATGTTGGGTTATTATCCGGCCCAACGGAACTCAAGATCTCCTCCCTCAACTTTCGCACCACCTCCGGCTTTTTCGACAACTCGTGGAAGGTCCAACTTAGAGTAGCAGCTGTCGTATCCCTCGCAGCTAATAACACCGCTACAAGCTGATCTCGCAACATACGTTTATCGCGTGTAAATTCGGCAAGAGCATGCAGGAAGTTGTAGTTCTTCTCGGTCTTGTCCTTAAGTTCGGAGGGCTTCAACTGGAGGGTTTGTTCAACATAGGGTTCGACAAAGGAGTTGAGAATAGCGAGGTTCTTGTTGAATTTTCCGCGGGGAAAGAGATGTTCGGCTGGTCTAATATGACATCAGCTCACCTCTCTTCTGGAAAATAGAAAGAAAAATACGAAGATCCCGTACCCAACTCTTGAAATATCGTTCATAAACTTCTGCAAGTCCGCGAACGCTACTGCAAACTCTGCACGTGGACTTCCCAAACTGTTGACGGTATTCCCTAATAGAAACTCTGTGGCTATATCCAGAGTGTATCGATAAAACAGATCTTTTATATCAACAGTGCTACCATCATGCGGGATGAGGGACATCATGTGGGTGATGTTTCGTTCGAAGGTTTCGAGGTCAGAGATACGGTCTTTGATGAACTGGGGTCGGATGAGTTGACGGGAAGAGTGCCATTCACTGCCATCGGTTGTGAAGATACTGTTGCCCAGGAATGGAAGCCATTGTCGATGGAAATCTTCGCCCTTGCCTATGTTTGAAGAGAAACATTAGCTGGTTGACTTTCATGTCAAGAAACCTCATTTACTACACCGTTCCAGCCACTAGACAAGCAGAAGGCAAACCCCCAAAGCTAAGAATTAGTCGTAGGAAGACACATACCATAATCAGAAAACTGTGCTGCCAAGATCGCCTTGATATTCTCTGGATCCTCTGTCAAGATGATTCTCTGTCCAAGCAGCTCCATCTCCACCGTATGCCCCGAACTATCAAATCTCCTCCTCCAAAGCTCAAAGTTTTGATTTTTCCATGCCATGTGCATTGTGTCTGCTATCACATCCAGACCTAACCACCGCCAAAATTACCATCATATCGCCGACAACTCAAAGAATGGGTTGAAAAAATATCTACCAAAGAGAAATGGGTAAGTATTAACATTTGGAGCTCGGGCTCCTAGCTTTCGAATCCGGAGGTTCTGGCGAATTTTGGCGAAGCAGAAGGTCAAAATTGAAGTCACTAGGAGAGTGAGTGCTATCCCAGGGGCAGATTGCTGCAGTGCGTCGAGCAACATTGTTTAATGTTACTTGAGTTTGAAAGTACTTGTGTAAGGAAAGCAAGTAAGTGATTTTATGAGTTTATGGTTATTGTAGATATGTAGGCACCGGTAGAATATGTATTAGGAGTAAAGAAAACCCTATATCGACGTAAATCAAGTCGTTATATAAATCATGGATGCCATGATCTGCCCTAGCCAGTTCGCGGGCATAAATTGTCCGCTAGTGCTCCCCCTCTCGTGGTACCGGACTCCGGGTTCCCTGGCCGGGGGAATTCATGTCCCTCAAGCAAAGATGATGCGGACTAAAATAAAAACAATTCGTCCGCGCTGGAACCGAGCCCGTGCTGCTCCTTGGTGTTGAATCCACATTCTGTTTTGCGTTAAACCTTGGAGCCTTGACGCTGTGGCCAGCGGCCACCCTTGCTTTGCCGTTCTCTGGGGTGTGCGCAAGCAAGGCAAGCATTATGTTTAGGATCTTCCTTCAAAGTTTAAGCGAGCACCACCAAAACCTTTGTAACCTCCAGAGTCCTTACTACTAGATCCTGGCTAAAACGCCTACCTCGCATTGGAAAAATAGTAACAAACCTGGAGAGACGTTATTAAAAACACTATCAATGATTGTTCGAATCGGCGTACCGAGCCATCAACCAATTGTCTTACAAGTGAAACCCAAAAAAACTGTTCGTTGATCTTGGCAGATCCCCCTTTCGAATTGTAACGGATGCGGGGCGGGAACAGATGCAATCGATATCACAAGCTCCCTCGGTAGAATGAAATATAAAATGTTGAGATCTGATCTCGAAGCGAGCAACCACACTCTCATTTTTCTGTAACTACTCTATGAACGACGTTTCATGTGTTGTTGTCACTGGCGTGACGTTACTAATATTGTATCTCGGGATTGACCGAGCCAGTAAGGATGAATTAAGGTTTGAGGTTGAATTGCAAGGTTCGCCGTCACGCCTTGGACCTTCCACTTAGGCCCAGAAATCAGGTGTATTTAGCTCTCATCCTAACTTCTGGCATTTCCTTTGGCTTTTGGAGGAGGCGAAAAGGAATTATGAAAAGCCAGTCGACGTAGCACGACCGCTGCCCAGAGAACGACATCGATGAGCACACCATCTTTTCTCTTGACCCTGGTGGCAGTTATCAGGCGGTTTTAATTTATATATATTCGAAAGATCCGCCCGTTAATATGTTAAAGTACATGTAGATGGCATACAGCCGTTCAGCAGCCCTGTCGCTCAAATGGCTGTTGAGGTCATTATCGACGACGATATACCACTGGGAAGAAAAGGCTATCACCGGATTGTTTCTCTTCCGAACCATGCACACTGGTGGGGTTCGGTACGAGAGGATGATGGTTGTATGTATTCCGCCGATTTGTATCCGAGTAGGTTGGGGTAGATGGGTCATGTGGGGATGAGTTATTTGGATGCCCTTGGATTCGACTGAGTAATGACAATCTATCCCATGGCCACGCTCAAAGGTTCGACGTCATTACATACCTAACTAAAGTGCGCACTATATGAGTTTTCACGAAACTATCATGCCTCCTATGACCAATCACTTAGTTGTTTGCATACGCAAGCTATTACTCCGGCCCTCTCCCTCTTCTTCTCAACCTAGACGCATGTTTGGTTGGGCCATGCTAGTCATGGGAGGAATGTGAAAACTTTTTTGATTCAGGGATCTACCTAGATTCTTTAAATCCATGATTGCGTGCTTGGAGTTGAAATCCTTTGCGCCTTTACTGACACTATGCTATCGTATGCGGGGACGGAGCTTTTCAAAATCAAGCCTATAGGTCATTATTGTAAGTTTTCCTCTTTTCAGTTATCGTCAATACACTTAGCTGACTTGAGAAAACCGACCAAAAGAGCTATCCAAAACTCCCTAGGCCATTTGTTCCCTCAGTGCCAAGTTCGGCCATCAAGGTAAACTGTGAAGGACGACCTACACGTACGCCCCACGGCCGCTCTAGCCAGATGTTGGAATAACTTTTAATGCAAACCCAAAACCTCGATTCCACCTCAAGCTCATATAGTACCAGTACCATGGTCAGATGCCGCCTCCCCTGCCTTGTCCCAATAATAGCTCTATTTTGAATTTTCGGCAACGATCATATATTATCACTCGCCACGCCTAACCACGCTTTACCTATGTTTCCCACCCTCCTACATGAAACATAGAACACTTTCTACCAATTCAATGCGATAGCTAGTTCTACAACCACGCCCTTAACATCAGACGCACCTTGCGCAATCTGGCTGTTATCTACTGGCTAAATTCAACTACCGCTTACCTTCCTGGACCCTCCTAGCGAGTACAAACTCTGCCATTAGAGACTTTAAGCCACCAAAGATTTCTAGCAAGAACAAAAAGGATCAGCGCAAAAAAGATCGACCCTCGTCGCTCACTTCCAAACTGGTAGTTTTGAGGCTCTTACTACTGCTTAATATAGCCAAAAAATTACCAGTCTTGTGTTAGTTTCTCCTTTGACCCTGGATCGCTGATCTTTTTTGTCCGACGATCTTTTTTGTTGTTGTTAAAAATTTGGATGGCTTAAACTCTCTATTAATACTATGCAATGATGTCGGACCTCGCCTGTGGACATCATTGCCGGTGGATATTTGAAACCGCTTACTATGCTGTAGGTATATGCAGTACTGCGCTGGGTACCATGAGTCGAATCGGATGAACCGGTGGAGGTGCCTTATAAAGCGAGTGCTGGAGGTACCTACCAAAAGAAGAGAGACATAGGACACTTGGCGCATCTCCATGTCTCATACATAACAGTTTTAACCTCCTCTGCCTTTTTTCTCGACGTCCTCTATTCCCTCAAGTCAGAGGTGGCCAGATATAATTGAATCGGGTAATATACTAGGCTCGTTCCAACCTTCTACCCACGACCAGCACCTTGCTTCTCGTATAGGATGTACACAAGACATGCAGTAATATACCTTTTTTCACGCACTCAATAATCGGCCTTGGCTTTAAATTTTGGGTGATGATGCAATCCCTCGAAACTCGCCACGAACCCCGGGCCGCTGTACACCAGAGAAATTTTATTTAAACAGGTCCAACTCTCCCTCTTGTGTCTTATTCTAATTTCTTCATCAGTAATGCCGTTGTCATCCATCATTCAATGTTATCTTGAGCAAGACCCATCAAATTATCGGAACACACACCGGAATATACTATTTTCGAGCGAGACAACCTAAATTAGGGCGTTATCATAAATATATAGAGTTATCACGGCAATGAAACTCTTAAAATTCAGGAACTAAGTCGTTCCATTCAAAAAATCTTCGTTAGAGGTTTTGCCCAAATTTACGTGGATCTTGATAGTTTCCTTCATTCTCTTCATTTACGATGAAATTTGTGAGGATATTACAGAGATAGTCGTTCAGAGATATTCATTCAGAGATGTAAGGAATTGAAGAAGGTTGACACTTCTATCTGTTGTTCTGAGTGGTGATTCTTATAGGCCTAGGACTTTAATTGACTTGCAGCCTAAGGATTCGGTCATGACCAATGGCTATAGTGTTAAACCAGTATCAACTATCGTACAGGGTGTACCTACATCCTAAAATATCTATAGTTTGAATACCTAACTTTCATCATTACCATATCTTGAGTGATGATAGAGTTGGCAGAAACGCGGAAGGAATTTAAGACAGACCATATATAGTAAGAAATCCGGTAGCTACTCTCATACAAGGTTTCGTGAGAGCAACACTTGAAAGAAAGCTTCTTTGAAGGTGGCTTGTGGGAGTGGCTAATGGCGCCTCCGCCTTCAGTTCAAGTAATGACTGTTACTGGGTAATACATACATCGATTATGGTCGACGGCCCGGTGGTGTTACGGATTGGGCTCCAAACCCATTTGTAGAATATAATCCCCGCCCCGGCCCTTCACCTTGAAGATACTACTAGTTACTCCCAAGTCCATTGAATATCTCTTCATAAAATATAGCGTACGTACATCGCAAATTCCAACTCAAGATGTGTCATTGGACGGTTGGCTGAGGCCAAGCGAGTGATATCTTGTGCGCCGGTCAACCACCCATCAACGCAACTTGATATCGAAGCCATGTGCACACCAAAACAGAATGAAAATTCTCATCAAACTACGCACAGATCATTCTACTCCACCTGATTGATGCTGGTGTTAGCGAAATGTAACAAACATTCTGGCTTGGGCGGCGGGCATCTGAAGTGGGGTTCTTCTTTTCCAGCACTAGCAAAGACAAAGTGAGGGCCCTCATGCTGTTTCCCATTATAGCGATATCTTTATCGAAAGGTAGCGGGATGTATAGCTGGATGAGCTCGTTGGGGCTATTTCCTCAATTTGCTGATGAAGGCATGAGTTTTATGGAAACCTTGATGGGGTGGTGGTCGGTGACTGTAGGTGAAGTGCTCGCGGATAGTGTTTGTGGTTGCGATCACAAGGGGTTGATAGTTGTAGTTACGATTATGGCGGGGCTGTTCTCGAAAGAAAAAAGAAGAGCTGTTTGAGTACCAAAGCAACTACATACTTATACGTAGCTAAATTTCCTACATCAACATGTACACTAGCTAGCTAGTATATAGCGAAAGCTTGCTATAACGGTACCTTCTATAAGGGTAATCTCTCTATAACGGTAGCACTTCTCGGTCCTTTTTGCCCGGATTTCAGCACAATCACCTCTTATATAAGGGTAATCTCTCTATAACGGTACCAAATTCCGGTCCCGAGCGTACCGTTATAGCAAGCTTTCGCTGTACATGTAGTTACAACCAACCATCACGCACAGTACTTACACCATAGAAGGCTCCTTTCCATCCCAACTCACCACATTTTCCTTCCATGGAAAAATGCTCTGAAGCACTCTCTATACGATTTTGACCGAATGGAAATGATCGGTATTGCATGAATTTCTGACACTCATGCCATGCATGAAAATAAAAATCTTAAAAATTCGAGCAGTGGTTATAAATAAATTCTATATGGTGCCTATATAGAGCGCGAAGGTTAGACACACACACAATCGTACTAGATGCACCAATGGTATCTAGAGGGTTCTAGCATTGGCTGGCAGTTAGATAGCGACTCGAAGCATCTACCCAAAAATATCACCCCAAGTTAGACCTTTTTAGAAACATATATGTACTCGCCAAAAAATAAAGTCTGGCGGTGAAATAAGTACCGTTGCAGCGCAGCCATTCGGCCAGGTACTTAATTCACCCCCAGACTTTATTTTTTGGCGAGTAGAAGAGTATAAACTGTTGAGAACAAAAAGCAGGCGGTCACACGGACACCACAAGAAAAATGATTAGCAGGACAATAAGCTCTCATTGGCCTCATCCGCAATCTGTTCAATATAAAGTACACCAGCTACAACCAGCTACAACCAGCAAGCAATGCAAGAAAAAGACAACAAAAATTCAAAACCAAAAACAAAGCTTCATCCCGCTAACAAACCATCTATTAAAAACACATTCATAATAAAAATACAGACAAAGTTATGACTCAGCTAGGCTTTCCCTTTCCCTTTCCCATACCTCTCCTCGACTAGTTTCCCTACCACTCCCGCATCGTTCTTATCACCTTTCTTCACTTTTGCACCGCCACCTCTCTTCCGTTTCGATCCAGAACCCTTTTTCTTCTCCTGGTAGCCGTCATCTTCGTCTTCGTCGCCAAAGTCCCTGCTGCCTCCAAAGCCGAAGTCAATGTCGAAGGCATCACGATCTGCGGATTCAAGGAGTGCCGCATGGCGTTTTGCTTTTTCTGCATCTTCTCTTGAAGTGGTAGAGGAGGAAGAGATTGGGTTGAGGCTTGAGGCTTTTGCAAGAGCTGCTGCGAGAGCGGGGTCGGAGAGGAGTGAGCTAGCGGTAGGTGGTTGGTACTTTTGCTCTCGTGATGAGGAACTGCTGCTGGGTTCGTCGCCAAAGTAATTTAGTTTTGGTCGTGGTGGAGGAGGCATTGATGTTGGTGGTGGAGGCGGGATGTTCTCGTCGTTGTCGGGTTTGAGCTTTTTGCTACTTCCGGGCTCGCGATCCGAGTCATCAGAGTCGGAATCAGAGTCAGAGTCTTGTAGGCCGGCGAGAGGATTGTATTCCGTCCCTGCACCCTCGAAGATATCAATATCTTCGTCCTCTTCGTCCTCTTTGATCTGCACCCCCGGCCTCGGAGGTGGTGGCATCATCCCTAACGGCGCACTCGTTGGGTCTGGAGCTTCTAAAGCTGCCTTCTTCCCCTTGTCGCGTTTTACCATCTTTTTGACACGGCCGTCCGGAAGTGTGACATACTTCACCTTCTCCCGTTCTGGTTCTACCGGCTTCTGTTTTTCCTTCGGCTTCACTTCACCGATCTTTCGAAACTTTGCGCCCAATGCCGGTTGGGCGGCCTCTTTTGCCGCTCTCCGTGACTCTTTTAGTGCCGCCAGGATCTCAGCTCGCGTTTTCGGTACCGGCGCTGCCTTTACTCCCTTCTTCTCCTTCTTTTCCTTCTCGGCCACCACAACCTCGCTCTCGAGCGCCTTCTCGAGCTTATCCTCCACATCTTCTTCCTCTTCTTCTTCCATGCCTACATCATTCTCCTGGTCTTTATTCATGACGTCCTCTCCGCGCCGAATCTTCTCTAGTAGTGCAAAATCGAGACCCTTGACCAGATGTGTACTCTTGACATCACCCCCGAGAAGCTTTGTCTGGCGCACATACTCGTCACGATCTATTTTTCCTTCTTTTGCCAGTTCTGCTAGTGCTTCGAGGCGCTCATCATCTGCGCCGTCATCGCGGGTCTTCGAACGGTCTACGTATCCTTCAGGTAAAGCTGTACCCAAAGGGGCGGCGGAAGAACGGAATTTCCGTGCGGGCTTCGGATTGAGAGCGGCGTTATGGGCGGCAACTTGTTTCGCAAAGTCGGATTGGGTCGCTACGGAGCGCCTACTTGTATGGCATGGTTAGTGGTGTGAGCTCGGGGGAGGTAGAAGGAGGGAGCTTGCGTACGGGGTCATGGGCATTGAGGAACGCTGGCGGGAACCAAGACTGGGGGTAGCAGATGTACCGCCATTGTTGGGACGCTCGGAGCGAGGGGTTTCGAGGAGTTTGCGGAACTGCGCGTTGTTCATGATGGATGGGGGGGTTGTTAATGAAGTATCTGGGATGTCTGCCAGACATCGCGAGAATGGCCAAGGTAGGTAGGGTAACCTGTCTTTAGTCAGCTGACGCATATGCGGGTGATATTTGATGATACAAACATGCGCGTAATTGTAGGTGCGTACCGCCAATGCGATATCTCAGAGATGCATGTTCCGTGTTGGCCCGAAAGGAAGCCAAAGTGGGCGACGGACACATCTTCTTCAACTCGCCCGCCTTAATCCTCATGGAGATGGATAGAACTATTAACAATCATAATTCTTCCTCAGATCCATGAGTATATATACACCACACAACCGCGATTATACAACGCTCGACACGACTGTTATAGCACTTGGCTTATCTTCAGGTTTTATCCGCTAGGGTGAATGACATCCAGTCTTGAGAAACTAGAGATTGAGCAAGAAGAGCCTGTCAACCATAATTATATATAAGGCCACTTCGATCAATTATTATAATATCTACGTCCCGCAAGCGATAGAGACAAAGGATGGGCATGTTTTATCAAGTACTGAGCTTAACTATTGGAACGTTACCTGAAATACTATGCTGATCAAGGCCCTCTCAGTTGCAAACTCTATATTCTCAAGCTCATGATCAACAATGACCTCGAAATTAGGTAATCGGCGCTGGTGCAAATCAAAAGCCCAAGTCATCATTCTCATGTACGTAGCCGCCCTCTTTATGTAATAAACCCCGCATCTATATGGTACTACTCATCTACTCTACGGCCCATCTTGCATATATACATACATGTATATCATCAAAAGCAGCCAAGCACTTCCGTTTCTTAACAGCCGTGGTACCAAGAATTGAGGTAAAGTACCGAGTAAACAATAAAAATAGGTAGGCCTCCGAGCGTAACCATCAAAAACTTGTTATCAACGTAGGCTTAATTCTGGTTTGTTTGGCGATAGGTACAAGGCTGGAAGGAAATGTTCGGTATTCTATTCTGGGGTATGTAGCAACCTGATAACGATAGTGCGGCAACCGACATGCGCAGTATCAAACAAGGCTGAAATGCAAGAAAGAAACATTCGTTTCACAAGAGTTGTCAAACTCGAATTCTCGAATTTCAATTCAAATCACCGCGGAGAAGTAGTGATTTAATTTGAGATATGTCTGCAATTTAATGGCACCGGTTAATAGAAGATGTGTATTGATCATGAAGATGTTTCTCTTTCAGGCCCTGAAAGATTCTGACGATGTACCTACCTACATCCTACCTACATACCTACACTGTAAGGGCTTTTGACGTGGCCTTAACAGCACGGGCCGTTCGTGCGCGCGCCGCAGCTCAACATCTCTGGAGTTGAAAACTCAAGACAGCGAATCAAACCCCAAAGGCGAAAGTGTGTGTGTGTGTATGTAATCAATCCCATCACGTTTTGGCTTGGCAGAAAACTCACCTCCTTCTTCCCCGGAGCCTTTCTCTCCTTCCTTTCTTTCGACCATTCTGAGGCTTCTTCCCCAGTCATACACTCATCTCCAGTTGTCCACCCAAAACAGACACCTTTCACCCACTCATATTCCTTCTCCTCCCTCCCTCTCCTTCTTACTCTCCCCCCTCCTCCTTCTCCCTCTAATCCCCCCCATCCATCCCCCCCCCCTGTAGGCGCAAGTAATTGTCAACGTCGCGATCACGTCTACACGGGAATCTGTTACCACTTCTACACGCCTCCCCAGCCTTCAATCACGTCTATTTCAACTATTTACTACTAGCAGCAGCAGCAGAAGCAGCAGCTAGGTTTTTCATCTCCTACTGACTTCTTCATCTGTCTACTGCTCCCCCATCTACATTTGGCCCTTTTCCGCTTCCTTTCGGCCTCACTCTTCCCCAAATCTTTACCACCATCCAGTCTACATCTATTCTCTCGCCTACCCATCCATCTATTCATCATCATCACAGCCGCCACCCATCCCGACCCTTCTGATTAATATCATTGTTCACCTCTCACCTTCACGTTCTTACCCGCTACCTGCTTCCTCCAGCCTAGAAAATACCGCGCCCGCTATTTCTTGCCCCAGGTGTACACAGCAAGGAATAAATTCAGAATATTAGCAATATCAGTTTCCGTACGTAACTTTTTGTTCAAAAAAGGCAAGCAAGAAAAATGAGCTCTCCAAGCGCTTCTGGAGCTACTAAGCGTCCTCTTGAGGACTCTTCTTCCCCCAATATTAAGGATGAGCATGATTCCAAGCGTCCTGCCCTCGACAAGGAGGTCAAGGGCGGTGATAGCAACGACAGTGCTCCTTCATCCCCAAGCCCGGTCAGGGCCGAGGTCGCGGTTGTTCCAGCTACTAAGGCTGAGCCCGAGGCCGGGGAAGTGAAAAAGGATGGTGATACTGATGTTCCTGATGCTCCCACTGGTGCCGATGCACAAAGTGCCGATGCGCAAAGTGTCGATACACAAAATCAGCAGGCCGTTCCCCAGGTGGATGAGAGCAATTGGATCCACATGCGAGCGGTAATCACTTCTGCTGAGGCAGCTACCGTAATTGGAAAGGGTGGAGAAAATGTAACACAGATAAGGAGGATGGCAGAGGCAAAATGCACTGTCTCGGACTACCAGAGAGGAGCAGGTGAAAGAATCTTGACAGTCAGCGGTGCTGTTGATGCTGTGGCCAAGGTTTGTTCTCAATTTTGGGGGCTCAATTGACTAGGATTGCTAAACTAACGTTAACAGGCATTTGGTCTTATCATTCGCACATTGAACAATGAGCCACTTGAGGAGGCCTCGTCCCCTCAGTCGAAGACTTACCCCCTTCGTCTGCTTGTCCCCCATATTCTTATTGGCTCAATCATTGGGAAATCAGGTTCTCGAATTCGTGAGATTCAGGAAGCCTCTGGTGCGCGCCTTAACGCGTCTGGCTCCTGCCTTCCCCTCTCTACAGAGCGTTCCCTCGTCGTTCTAGGTGTTGCCGATGCCGTTCATATTGCCACATACTACATTGCCAACACCCTCGTTGAGCAATTGACCGAGAGGTTTGGAGGTCCCGCTGCGTCAGCTTACGCGACCCGCTCTGGTGGCCCCGCTGGACCAATTCCAGGAGGAATGCAGGTTGTCCCTTACCAACCTCAACCTCTCCACGGCTCGTATGGCAATCCAGACACCTACAAGCGTCATAACAACAGCGCGCAGCGAACTCCCACTAACCCGTACGGAATCCCCTACCTCCATGGGCCTGCGCCAGCTCCCGTGCCACAAGCGCCTCTCCACTATGCCGATCCTCAAACTTCCAACGGGTATTCTGGCGCTGGACCACACCAACCCGGCCAGCCTGCTCCTACGCCTCAGCAACCGGCATCTAACCCAATGGCTGCTATGCTACCAGGCCAGCCGCTTACTCAACAAATCTTCATTCCCAACGACATGGTTGGTGCTATCATCGGAAAGGGTGGTGCCAAGATCAACGAAATCCGACAGTTGTCGGGTAGTGTCATCAAGATCAATGAGCCACAGGATAACAGCAACGAGAGACTGGTTACAATCACCGGCACACAGGAGTGCAACCAGATGGCTCTGTACATGTTGTACTCGAGACTCGGTAAGTTGTTGGCAACCATTTTATCCCTGAGGAGTACGAGCGCTAATATAATGTTTCACCTGTACAGAGAGCGAGAAGCACAGAATCTAGTCACCCTCATCCATCAAACAAAACAAAACAAGGTAGCACATGGAGATTCGAGGGCGGAAAAAATTGGTTTCGGAAATGGCGCTTGGTTTTTTTTCTTCCACTGTTTCTTTCTTTTACTCTTTGCTCCAAGATAACCTCTGGATATCGCCTCATTTAACCTAATTGTTTTCTTAAACTCGTCCTCTGTGCAAAAAACCGTAAATTCTTTGTCTTGTGGAAAAAAAAAAAAAAAGGGAGTGGGAGAGAAGGGATGGATGGGTTTGGAACGGAACGGAATGGAGGGTATTCGGTATTAGGTGGGTGGGTTTGGGCGTGAGTACGATAGCAGCGGTTATGTGGGATGAGTTTTTTCCTTTTCTTCACAGAGAAATAAGTATCTTTTGAGTTCTTTTCTTTCTTTACTTCAACCTACTTCTGTTTGCCTACCGGTCTGCCTACTCTATTCTTGTCACTTTTTTTTATATTTTGCTTGCCTTTACCAACCGCCTGCCTATCTACCTACCTGTCCAGTCGTTGCATGGCCCCATGCCTTGTTTTGCTTTTGTGTCTTATGTCTGTGTTCTTATAGGGTATTGAGTACCGACCGAATTGAATCTTGCCTACCTACTACCCTGCCCGCCTGCCTGATCCACTGCACCTACCTACCTAGCACTTGCACCTTCTCCATCCTTAAGGGGGCGAGCGACTAACTAGCTAGCTAGGGCGATGTTTTTAATTGGTGCTGGTGGGCAGTGGGTGGCGTAGGGTAGGGTATACGAGTGATGAGCTATGATCTGTAAGTTTTGGGGCGTTTATGGCAACTGGGTATGGGTATGGGTATGGGTATGGGGGTGTTGTAAGATAAAAAATATAGTGTACTCTCTGGGGCTGGAGTTTGTGACCAGAATGAATTGGGAACGAATTTTAAGGTTGCGATTTATGGATGGGTTAATTTTGTTGTGCAGTTCTGGAAATAAGATGAGTTTGAGCGGTTGTAAGATACTTCGAGTTGAATAGTTGTGATGGGTGTGGAGTTAATTTGGTATTTTCGAGTCACAGTTGCATGCGCCTGTGTTTGTATAGAGATCCACAAACTATGAGTCTTCTTTGGAGGTGACATGCCGCATGAACTATTGGAAATCCCCTTAAAGCACCAGTTCACTGTACTATGAGTGGGGAGGACGTAGACATAACATTTAATCTTGATACATCGCACCGGTTTTGATAAGCTATCACCAAAATGGACCCCGTAGGTACGGCGGTGGCGTTGTGATACAACCTTGCGAGTGATATTCCATGACGGAAGGGCCCGAGAGAATTCCAGCACTGGATCCTTGGCAACTAATGACGTTACTATTTCACTATTATGAGGACATTTCGCCACCCTAATCCCCATTGGGTCTTAATCAGTTAAAATAATAATAATAGGAAAGTCACAACAGGACTAGCGTAGCCCTAGTCAGGGAGAGAAATGATTATTTAGAAGGAATATCAAAAACCAAACTTTTATTAGTGTATCTGATACTATGGAACCCCCCTGAGAAATTTACTGATATCCTCCACGTTATGCCCCCTCACCAGATAGGGAGCGCCAACAAACCCGCCCAGCTCCCCGAGGCTGGGAACGGGCCTTCGCCGTCGTCCTCGTCGTGCTCCCCGTCAACCTCTCCTTCCCCGGCCTTTCCCTCCTCCGGCTCCGTAGCCGGAACGCCCTGTCCCATCTTCAACACCTGCTTCTCCACCCCCTTCCTCATCAACGGCTCCAACGCAGCCCGATACGAGCTCAACCCCTCCCTCAGCGCCCTCCCCTCCTCCTCCATAATGCGCCTCGAGTCCTTCAGCGCCGCCTCATACCTTCCCACCAAAACCCCCAACCGTGCAATCTCGCCCTCCATCTCCGCAACACGGGACAAGGCCTTCTCGGCCGCGTCCTTCTCGTAGTCTGGCTCGGCGGACTCGCTGGGGTAGCTGCGGCAGAGATAGGCGTAGTAGGCGGGCGCGTAGGACTTGTGCGCGGGGATGGTGTGCAGCCAGGAGCGGTAGCGGGCGAGGGTGCCGCCGAGCGCGGCGAGCTCGGCGTGTAGGCGCGTGATGTTGAGGCTGAGGTTGAGGTCGTGGAGGGTGCGCTCGCCCGGGGACATTTTGCGCCGGTGCGGGGTGGGGGCGGGAGTGGGGGTGTTGGGCGCGGGCCCGGGGGGCGCCATGTGGTGGGGGTACATGGTGGAGGCGCGTGTTGTGGCGGTGGTGAGGGAGGTGTTTTTTTTGATGGGGTGGGATGATGGTGGGGTACCGCGGGATGGTGGTGGGGGGGGCTTCGGGGGTGCGAGTGAGCGGTGGTGATTATGCGCACGGGCCCTTGGCAGCTACATGTATGTACGTACATCGACTACCCTTCGTCCACCAATGCTGCCCCCCCGCCCTGTAATGGAAAGCCGAGGCTTGTATGAGAGATCCATTATTAGATAAGAAAGACAATGGGACCTGTGTACGTGTGTGAAAGCCAACTTGGCGGGGCAGCGTTTCGCTGACAATTGAAGGGATAGGTAGTGAAAGTCATTTTGGAGCATGGAATATGAGCGACAACTAAGCCGTCAACAGGCTCCAACACTCGGCCCGGGCTATCACCGCTCGTGAAAGCTTAACTCCAATGGGAACACCTACATGTAACCACCACTGCTAGAGCCAGAGGCGTGTCCGCTCCAGAAACGCCAGCTATGTACGCCCCGAACCACAAGAACACGTAACTCCTAGCTAGAACGCCCAATTTAAATCACCCTTTCGTGCCCGAATCTTCAATATCCTTCATTATCACAGAACCAACTCCTCTTCTCTTACTGGTCTGACCAGAATTAAGAGGCATATACTCGCTGGAGCCATATCGACTCAAGATAACTGGCGCTACGGGCCTGCCACCTGCGGGAGAGCATAAGATAGTTTCACGCATCCGCATGGTATAATACCTATTCCTTATAAACAGCAACCAAGTAACAGAGCCTAGAATCTTCATTCATCACCGGCCTTGGGTGAGGACACTAGACGTAAAAGTTATCACTGTTGATCAAAGCGCCCGAGTGATCGTCCATGATGCATATAATCAACCTACTAGGTAGTCTTGGCACAAGGAAATTTGATATACCTATCTATCACGCAATCCATTTGTTTCTTGTAGGTGTATGCATAGTGTCGTAGCTAACTACAGGTTTTTGACTGCCTCTGCTAATCACCTTGCCACAGCTGGAACGTCAACGGCTGACCAATAATATAGAAATACCGCCTTAATCCACCAAGCTGAATATCAGCAGCACTCTACCTATCGGGTAGGGAGTAGCGCGGAATAGATAAAAGTGCACATCTAGCACGTGCTCACCCACCCCGCAAGCTTTGGAATGAAGTGTGCATGAGACATGGAATTCAGCCTGACCCCCAGTACCGGTCTCGGGATATGCAGAGTCCATGCGGCAGGGCACTCTGTTATTGTTGTTTACCTCGAGTTTTCAGGTTCAGGAAATAATAGGTATGCATTTATTTCATTATATTTTAATACCGGAAGACTTTTGATAAACCGGTAGCTAGCTTAAGATACATGTCGGTCATAGTCATCACAAATAAAGAAATAAAAGGAAAGACTCATAAGCTTCAAAAAGGTATAAGGTAAAAATTAATCCACAAGAAGGGTAGTCCACAAAAAACTTAAAGAGAAGAAAAAAAATAAAAACGCCGTCCCCTACAACTACGCTCTAATTCAGCGCACAATCGCCCTCATTCTGGTGGCACCAAAGCTGCATGATCGGACCGGCACCGACTCCCCTCAACACAAGCCTCTCCCTAAACTCCGCCAATCTTGGGCTCGCATCTGCAAACGTCCTGTTCACGCCCTGTGCATCGGTTCTACCACTCCAGAGAACTTCTCCGGCAGCTGAGGCCCTCGGCCAGACGACGCCGTCGAGGCTGACACCGTCAATCTGCTCACTCCATGCGTGGACTTCACCGCCGAGGACAAGAGCAGCCTGTTCGGGTGTGAGTCCGGCAACGGGGTCGAAGGAGTAGACTGTCATACTGTTAGCTGGTTTGGTTAGAGAATAGGGATGGAGGGGGTGGTCTTACTAAGACGCCAGTTCTTCTTGGGTGAGCAGTAGTCGTTGAAGGGGTAGAACTGCTTGTAGACGTTCGGGCCGAAATCGAGCCACTGACCATTCCCGCAGTCGAGATACCAGAAGTTGTAGTTGCCAGCGATGACTCTGTGGCCCTTCTCTACGGCAGTCTTGGTCGACGCATCGCTGATCCATGTCTGCACAATGACATCCTTGGGCAACGTGAGTTTCCAATCAATCAACATCTCCTCCCACACCACCGGCGACATCTTGCCGTTCCGGACCTCGCTGTGCACATGGTCGATAAACTTCTGCAACGCCGGCGTAAGCACCTCTGTCGCATTCGATGCAATTCCCTCGTCAAACAGATAGACGTTCTTGTTGACCTCGTCACCACCGGTATGGAAGTAGCTCGTGTGGTCTCTCAGCCTCGGTAGCAGGTCGCCAAATAGCGTGGTCAGGAACTTGCGCACGGCCTCGTTGTTCAGCTTCAGAGAGCCTGATGGCGGCTGGGCGGCATAGCGGTCCCAGTTGGGCTGGATGTTCCACCCCGCGATCAGCTCTGGATAGGCCTCAGCAATGGCCGACGTGTGTCCGGGCATGTCAATCTCGATAATCACCTGCACGCCGCGCTTCTCAGCAAAGTCGAGAATCTCGGCGAGGTCCTCGGTAGTGTAGATGAGACCCTCGGCATACGCACCGCAGGGCGCAAGGTCGGGGAGCGCCGGGATCTCGAGAGGCCAGGACTGCGAGTCGGTGACGTGGAGGTGGAGGCGGTTCATCTTGTTCCATGCGAGCGCATCGATGGTGCGGAGGATGTCCTCTTTGGGGTACCACTGCCGGGCGACATCGAGGTTGAGGCCGCGGTGCTGGAACTTTGGCTTGTCGAGGACCTCGACGGGGGCGAGGGGCGAATATACGCCGTTGTTTTTGTGCTTGTTGGAGGCGTAGAAGAGCTGGGTGAGGGTGTTGAGGGCGTGTAGGACACCGAAGGAGGTGGGCGCAGTGATGTAGGCGCTGTCGCCAGCGTCGGGGATCGTGAGGTTGTAGCTCTCGTCCGTACCGTATTCGGCGGGGGCGGAGGTTTCGGAGGTTGTCTGCGTGATGACGATGTTCTTGAGCTTGGGGCCGTTGGTGTCGGCGGGCTCGAAGTTGTCGCCGCGCTTGTGGAACTTCCAGGGGACGAGGTTGTCGCTGAAGAGGATCGTCTTTGTGCGGTCCCAGGCCTGGTTGACTTTGTCGGTGGCTTTTTGGGAGTTCTGATTCTGGTTGTTAGTATGTGGGGGTTACTCTAGGAGGAGGGGGGTCTAGGAGGGTTTATTTGGAACTGACGTTGGTGGGCCCTGAGAAGGTCATTGATATGTCATCTGAAATCCAGACAACCGTGGATCCATGCTCGTAGCTAACGGGCTGGGGCCAAATGGCATTGGCAGCACCGGCAAAAAGCGCCAGTGCGGTAAGAGACTTGAAGCCGGTCATGATGTTGGGGTGAAAAGCGTATGTATTAATGGATGTTTGTTAATTCTGGCTTTGGAGGAGTGTAAAAGCTTCGAAATAGAGGATTGAGAAAATAATGAGTCGACAGTGGATTCCCACAATAGTTTTATAACTACCAATGGCTCTAGGGGAATATAGAAAGCCACGCACACTCTGGACAATAGAAGAAATACAATGGAGGACTCCTTCGCGTTTAAGTATTCCTCCGCCCACCCCCCCCTTCCTCTCTACAAATACTACATGTACTACGCCCATGTGTGTATCTTGGCCTAAACCCTCTTTTGTAATGTTCCGCAATGAGACATGGGGTCCTAGAAACGCAAAATTCCCGTGCCTTATGCAGTAGTGATGAATTATTAATGAGGCAGGTGTGTGTGAGTGTGAGTGAGCGAACGAGTGTGGGTCAAATCCGCCGCCGCCGATCGTCAATTCGCTAAACCTGCAGGAGTCTTATTTGTATGTGCATTTTTTTTCTTTCTTGTTGGGCAAAGCTAGTACTAGTCGTTTTTTTTTACTCTACTCCTACTTTTTACATTATCACCAGTAGTGCAAAGTGCAGTGCTAGTTAGCTGTCTCAAGCTGATGTCTGATGTTTGAAAAAAACACAACATCCCACCGCTTCCACTGTACCTTTCCAGCGGACACTCCATTCATTCCTCGCTCGCGCCCCAGCCACATATGTACTTCTAGAAAACCGCACACTTATTAAATCAATATGTATGTGAGTGGTACCCAAAAATAACCTGTACCTGTCGGTCCGGGCCGAACGAGGGTATATACAAGTACATACTCTAATGTAACCATGTACTTAAGTTAGTCTGGAATAAGCTTCACACCCGTTACTGCTACTCTACTTGTACCGGGAATGCGTGCTAGCCAGGGTAGGGAAATAAGGGCGCATGGTTTGTGTTGTTGGTAACCATTTTCCGCGATCCTTGTCTGATAATGTAGTTTACAGTACTCACATGTACCATGTCTGTACTCTAATTCAAGGGATCGACATACTAGTAACTAGACGTTGGTACTGTGCCATCTGAAGGGAAGGGAGGGTAGAAGGAGGAGGTGCCGTTCGTATTCTGGGTGGGGTTCAGGGGCGCTGCAGTTTTCTTTCTTTGATTCACTGACTGCGCTGCTGCATGAAACTGTACTCAGTCACAATGGTAGTACTTAGGCCGGTATCCTATAGCTTAATGAATAGAGTAGGCAACTTGAAAGCTGAGCATGAGGGGGTAGATAGGTAGGTACTCGACGGTACCCCGCGGATTCACCTAACTATAGAATAGAGGCGAAAGTACCTGTCTGAGCTTGTCTCTCTATAGACTGCTGTATCTCTGTGTATGTAAGTATCTGGCACAGGCTGTGAGGCAGTGAAGCTCGCAGTGTAAATAAACATTCCGCGCTTTTTTACCAGGTCACCTCACCTCACGTGCACCGTTGGTAAACAGCTTGATTTCATTTCATTTCGTCCGCAATACTACAAATCCATACAAGCCCATGTCTACAGGTACATACACAGTCAGCCAATCAGTCTATCAGAGTCACACTCTCTAATTTCAAGCCTCACTCACCTCACCACCAACGAACCACAATACATTCCAGCCCCACCCACAAGCCTCACAATCTTTATCCTATCTTTAGGGCGCGCTTCGATCCGTGCCCGCCGCCGCCACAATATTGATGACTGTATACGCGTGTTTGGTTAAATAACAGCATCATTTCGGAGACATATTGGGCGAGAAAAGGGCAGGATTGTTTTTGGGAATGCACTTTGCTGTCGACTCAGGTGTGGGTAGCGAATCTTTTTGACGGGTTTTAGCACTTAGGTGTGTTGGTGTAACTATGTGTCGTAGTGTTGGTATCGATAATATTGGTATCGGTATCGGTATTAGTATCGGTATTGGTACTTGATAGTATTGGTATTTGGTACTTGATGGTTTATGAGTACATGTATGTATCTACTTAGAGGTAAGTACAATACCAAAAATGGTGCAGGGATTAGTATGGTAGTGCTACGGTAGTCTTGCTACAATGCGGTATTTTCGGGACTGCTGCATCATTTCGGCATTTCAAGGAGTATATTTTTCATAGAATGCCGTAGCAATACCATAGCAATACCGTAGCACTACCACAGCAATATAGACACATTTTAGCGTTGTGACCAGCACCAGGTCCAGCGCGCCAGCACCATGTCCAGTGTGCCAGCACCAGGTCTAGCGTGCCAGTACGCCAGGTCCATGACCAGGACCACACCTACATGTAGGCTCGTCGACACTATGTTACAAGACTAGACCACACCTATACGACTTCATCATTATCATCATCATCATCATCACCAACATGAGCGTATCATAATCGAATAGTAGACGCAACTTCTAATTAAAATGATGTGTATATGTATGCCTAAGAGCCCAAAATTTATTTTTCAAAAGTATATCCCAATTGTTTAAACCCCATCCTAGGATGATAAGAATTGATGGATCGGTGGATGAAACAATATCTGGTGATCTTTGATTCTGAAATGCTTCATCACCAAATATGATATTCCAGGGTTAGGGGAATGGCATTGTCCTAAATACCACAAGAATGCCGTATTTTAGGAAATGCGGAAGTACTAGGGCAGTATAAATATACCACCCACACTGCAGAATCCAGGGAATATATAGATTATATAATACAGTATTGATACGGCATTGATAGAGCATTTGCTGCAAGGCGGCTTTACTCGCTCGACAACCGGAGTGCTACCCGATTTTATGGGATGGCGTAGTACTACCGTACTAACCCCCACCCGTTTTTTGGTACTGTAAGCGTGTAGATTTATTCAACTGCGGTAAGGGAGCCAAGGCTAACCCCCCCCCCCCCCCCCCCCTCTTTTCTCCCCCGGGCTTCACTGGAGTATCTCGGACGGTGGGAAAACCTACTTGTACGACAGACAGCCAGACAGACAACTTACAAGCTCGACTGCCCAGGTTCCCGTTCACATACAAGTACCACGGTATTGTACGACCTAAGCCAAACCCCGACCCCAAAATAGACACCCGACAGCCTCAATTCAGTTTGATTAGAGGCTCTGCTCGATATCTCTACCATCGAATATTCGAATTGGCGGGGTACCTGTGTCACCGAAAACAAAAGTTGGACAAAATTAAGCTTACTGGGTTGGCACGGGCCTACTTACCTACCTGCTACTCTACTCTCAATCTCTCATACTGTAGAGCAGTTACTCTAGATACCCAGAAGTCTCTCTTTTACTCTACGAACAGAGCAGTTCATGATAATGCATCTAAAGACGTCATTCAGCCTCACGGGGGGATATTTTTTCCTTTCTGAAGATGGATTCGGTCGTGGGTGCACAGGACATATGCGTGCATGTAGAGTACCTGATGCAGAGACCCCTAAAAGATTACACCAATCGGCAGGTCCAGTAGAGTAGGAGTGGGTACATAGAGAATGCTTATTTTAGATTGGAGGGTAGTGGGAGATCTGTAGTGGAGATCTAGCTAGCGAGGGTAGAGTAGAGTAAAACAGAGACACATCTCTACTTTGGGGTGCTAGCTCAACTTTGAGACACACGACGTCAAAAGCACAAATATGCCCTTTACTAGAGGCCAGACATCGATATCATAATTGTCATTCAACTAAGCAGGTTTCCATCACTTCACACCACCTGGATATGTATTGTCGTTTACGGCAACCAAACAGAAAAGAACAGAGTGATCAAGTTCCTCCCCATTGGCCCAGATCCCCTGGCCACTTTGGCACCAGTGTTTGTGAACGACGGAGACCGTAATAAAAGCGCTTTAACCACCACCACCATCACACCGCATTGCAGAGATTTTTCCAGAACCCTTCTCCGCAACACCCAATCCCAGGCTCTCGCTCAACGCCAGTCAGCAAAACGAAAAGGAAAGACCATCTTAAACTCCAAAGTGCAGAGTTAAAGATAATCTTTACGAACACGACGATCCTGGTGTTGTGAGTAGTCAAGACGTCAGGTGCGTGTTCGTAATGGTGATGATAATAACCATGCTCTCTTTCTCCCATAGCTATGGGTGCAATTGTGGTCCGAACACAGTCGGCGATATCTATAGGTACAAGCATGTCACATGTATAAACTACACATGTAGGGCAACGTCTCTACCTCTTATGGATAGGGCGAGTCATCTGTGCATACCCGGTTAGACGCTTTCCTTATTCTGGTACAGTATTTCTTTATTCGGGAATAATTGGCTTAAATTTCTTTGTCTATGCCTCATTGAACTATTCGCCATTCACTACTTCTTATGTGAGCTTGTTTTTTAGTGGAGATGGATATGAAATCATTACGGGTATGATCACACACTATTCTGCACGTGACTTACCTTTCCTTTTAAATATATTTTTGCAAACTCTACTACTACATATGGGGTCGAAACAGCCCCTCTTGCATAAAACAGCACACCCTGCGTCGAGGGATATTGCATGGCTATTTCAAGAAAGGCTGAGTAGTTGGGTTGATGGGAATGCCGAGACCCGCACGTAGGGCATACTTAAAGTGCTCTACATGATCAAGTGCGCACAACAGTTGTCCCGGTATATATCGTGTGGGAAGGTTGAAATCTATCATATCAGCTGTGCGGTTGACTTGACCGGGCCGGTACTGTTAATTTCCTATGATACTTGGTCAGACATTAACCTGCTAGGAATGTTCGGTCAACATCGCGATCAAGTGGTCCAATTCAATTCCATTGCTCATTTCAAGTTACTAACGCTATATAACTTTTACATGTAATAACTATCTTTCCCCGAATCCCCGAATCCCCGAATCCCAGTCTCCTCTTCCCTCCCTCCCGCCTAAATAAAAAAACAAAAAAGTCATAACTAATTATAGAACAAAAAGCCAAATGTTACACTAGCTCGATGGTAGCGTCAATGTGACTTTGTTCGTACTGTCACCCTTCGATGATGGCTGCAGTGTAAATACGAACGTTCCAGGTTCAACTCTCCACTTCATCCACCTGTCGTATCCACTGAGGTAGCGGTTCACATCGAGCTGAATCGAAACTTTTTGAGTCTCGCCGGGTTGCAAATCGACCTCCGTGAACCCCACGAGCTGTTTTACAGGCTGAGAAATTGAGGCTACACGTTGTAGCAGATATATCTTGAAGATTATTGCAGGTTAGATGGTGTCACCACTAAATTTGAAGCTTGCGAATAACTTACCTGAGGAACCTCCCTTCCCGCAACAGCACCAGTATTGGTTACAGAAAACTCAAACGTGATTGTGTCCTCCGCCGTAAAACTCGACTTATCGGCCGTGATCTGCGAGTAATTGAACGAGGTATAACTCAATCCATGCCCAAAGTGGTATAATGGATTGTATGTGATTCCTCCTCCATATGCCACGTTGGGGATCTGGTTCCCATCAACATCGCGATTGGGGATATCCACATACTTGTATCTGTACGCGGCATTATCGTGGTTATAGTACGCCGGACTGGTGCCAACAGAATACGGAACTGCGATAGGCAAGCGACCAGACGGGTTGACTTTTCCATAGAGAATGTCAGCGATTGCCTGGCCACCTGCTTGCCCGTTGTAGCCAGTGTATAGCACTGCTGCTGCTTGACGGTAGTATTCTGGGAGTGCCAGTGGTCTAGCACCTGTCGTGACGAAAATCACAGGCTTCCCAGCAGCAAATACGGCGTCCGCTAGGGCGGTCTGGTTCGGGGAGAGGGCAAGTGTGGACATGTCGTTTGTTTCCTGATCAACAACAGCAGAACCGCCGGCAATGAAGATAACATAGTCAGCTTCCCTTGCTGCTCGTGTTGCTTTCTCGAGCTCGTCCTTTCGGTCAACGAGATTCCAGGCTGGTGCTACCAATCGTTGACCAGATGCAGCGTTTGAGCCTTGATACTCGATGCGGATTTTGATGGAGGCTCCCTTCTTGAATGTGAATTCGGCAGAGCCAGTAGGAACCATGGTGGAGTTTTGCTCGTAAACCTGCCAGAACTGGTCAGGGGTATCGCTGTAGGTATTCTTGACACTTCCGCTGGCAGCCTTTGAATGCAGAACATCGTTGACATATACAGTAACGTTTCCACTGCGTGTCATGGCGCCGAGGACAGCTTTTGCGTCGACTGGGGAGTGGAGATATCCCTCCCAACGAACAGAGAAGGCGTTACTTGGGAGTTGTTTACCATCAGGTCCTGACGGTGGATAATGTTCGTATTCGAGCATTGGACCTTCGACTACTCCCCAGGCCTTATTCTTCCACTCATTGTCAGTGTAATAAGTTGCCTTAATCCGCTCTGGCTTGAATTTCCCAGAGGTGTAAAAAGGTAGTTAGGAATGACATTAAGGTCATAATAAAGAAATGTCGGCGCGCCCCAATGAGTCTCAAGGTCCTTCTCGTCAACATATGTATCCACAATAGCCTGACGAGGTGTAATCATCCGCTCATGCACTCCCATACGGATATAACCGCCCAAGTTTACCGTATCTACAAACGGCCCGATCAATGCAACCTTCTTCCCGCTTTTCGGCTTGAGAGGAAGTATTCCGGTATTCTTGACCAGAACAATAGACTTCTCGGCAACCTCGGAGGCAATTGCTGCAGCCTCATCAGTATCGATCTTGCCTTCCGTAAAGTCATCGGGAAGGTATGGACTGTCAAAGAGGCCGAGATCGTACTTGATTTTCAACAAGCCTTTGACACGGGACTTAAGGGTGTCTACAGTGAGGGTGCTACCATTTATGGCGGCGACGATACCACGAGTCCATTCTTGGATACCCCAGTCGGCGTAGTTGCCCTTAAATTCTTATGGTTAGTCACATTGTCCTTCCCTATCAAATACTGCCCAGAAACTCACCATTCCACCAGCATTGAGATACTGAGTAATAGCGTCTTGAGAATTTTCAGCAACTTGGTGCCAGGCCATAGATCTTTGAATCATGTGATCATCCGAGATAATTCTATTCAAATAATGGATCAGTACCAAGAATGCGATACCAGGCGTGGTTTGCTCGTGTATTTACCGTCCGTCAAACCCCCACTCGTTCAATGCCGCATGAAGATCCGGGTCAAACGCTGCCGGCGACCCATCGATGGTGTTATATGCAAACATAATACCCAGCGCTCCACCCCGCTGAATGGCATCTCTAAAGGGCAGTGCAAATTCGTTCCATAGTTGTCTCTTTCCAACGTGAACCGGTCCCGCATTCCTGCATGGCGACTAAGTCAGCTAACCCATCACAATAATCATTACCCCCAAGTCTTAAAAGAAAAATAAAAAGCTGAGGATGCAAAAGAGAAATAGTGTTAAAAGTAACGTTAAGGAAATGTCTATTGTTAAGAGTCTTTGATAAATAGAATAAAATGTAACTTTCGAATTATGCATAACGAGTGACCGTGCATGATAAACTCAGTAGAATACCACGGTGTCAATAGAATCGAAGAGGGAAACATGCGCAGAAACGAACAAAATGAGACGAAGGAAAGCCAAAAAAAAACACAAGTGATGAAAGACAACGATTGACATACCTTCCACCCTCCGGGCTCCCATGCGCCAAGAAATGTTTCACTGATGCAATTGCACCTTTTCTATCACTCAGTTCCCCATCATTCTGCAAGCCTTTGACATAGTTCCATCCCAGCTGCGCCGTGAGAAATTTATCCTCCCCAAAGTTCTCACCAATCCTCCCCCATCTGGGCTCCTTTGCAAGGTCGAGAACAGGGCAGTAACAAGATCCTTGGCCAATTGCCCGAGCTTCGAGAGCAATTGCTTGGCTGGTGTTCTTGACGAGGGCAGGAGACCATGTGGCGGCCATGTTGATAGAGGCGGGGAAGATGGTAGTGCCTGGGGTGAGGACTGCGCGGAGACTACGTTTTGCAGATGTTAGGTATCATCTTTAGTTGCGAGTATGGAGTTAGGAATTTACCATTCACCGCCTTGGAGAATTGGAAGAGGGAAGCGTGATGTTTCGATAACTTTGCGCTGGAGATCATTGTACGTAGTGGCGTTTTTAGCACCCCTAGAGCGTTCTAAAAGACCAGGTTAACACCCTCTTCTATCACCCATCAGCTTCCTACCCAGGGCAACATACCAAAAGTTTATCTCTCCAATCCCTCTCACCCCCACCACAGAATTAAACTTCGCCAATCGCCCCTCGCCATCCGATATCTCGGTGAACTTGAACAGATGCAGATGCTGGGCCAGCTCCTCCACGGTCATCTGGTCGAGGATACCATCCAGGAACTCATCTTTTGATTTCCCGGCGGTGCTGCCCCAGGGATACGAGGTTGAGTTCGAATATGTCGCGTTCTGTGAAGACACCAGTGGGAGTATCTGCGCTGCGAGTAGGCCGAGGGCTACGTATCGTGCCATGTTGGAAACTCAGTGGTATGTAGCTCCTGGGGAGTACTGGGCTGTGGTAGTTTAAAGAAATATAGGCTGGTGAGCATGGTATATAATGTAGCTCTTGAGATTCGCTCACTTCCACTATCAATGACATCATGAAATCCAACGCGTACGCCTACGGTAGCTTTCCTTGCTGGTGAAAGCTGTGTTACAGGAATATAGGAGGAACTTTTATTTCACTCCGGCAATCCCTCCATCCTCCGGGGCTGCAAAATGTGGGAGTCGGTGAAGTACTCGCTGCTCACAAAATCTACATATCGGACTAACTTAAAACCAACAGCGTTCGGACTATCTTACGGTCCGACTTTATTTGGGCAATAATCCCTGTTACTACTCCTTTCGCTTGTGGTTAAACACGATCGATGTCCTATTCTGCCTAGTCCAACCTCTGTTTATTCACCTAGATAGAAGGCTAGGAGGACGGGTGAATCCCCGGGGGCTCCGCTACTCGGGAGTACTATGCGGGGGGTCAGGCCATTTCTGGGGAAGGAACAATTTAAGGTTTATGTGGGGTATGGGGCAGGATGAATCTTCGAGTGATCGGTTGTGATGCAACGGGCTCCGACGACGAGCTTCCTTTTCGGGTTGACAATGTTTCTGTTACCCCAGTTATTCTACTTTACGGGAGTGAATGCCTGTTGTGGAGATGTTTATCAGCCAGCACATGAAGAACGAGAGACACCTTGTTGTCTCTCAAGCTCGTGCTTCCAAAGACGTGCTAGCTCAAAGAGGGGTTTTGCCAAGCACGTCTATCACTCGTCCCCGACTCCCCGCAATTGTAGCCTTGGCAGGAACTCCACACCCGGACGATCAGCTAGCTCGCCGATTTTGGGTCCGCATTATCTTTATCTCTTTATATCTCCATTCAGGATGAGTATATCGGAATTCTCAGACTGTCAATTAGCTATTCCCATAATCTGGGTTTGTTATTAAGACCATACCAGGCGCTATGCCAAACAGCACTTGGTAGTTTTCCTCTCAAATGCCAGAACGAAAATTGGGTACGTACCGGAAGACCTTGGTATCTTGGATCTTTTTCTTCTTCTGACTACTCCCTGGGCGGAGGGTACCTACATCCTTCAGCCAAGATTGTGGGGACTGAGGTAACACTAGCAGGGTTAGAGACGGGTACCCAATTTTCTTTTTCTGTTTTCACTGAGGTTCAAATTGGCTTGCACCCATCGACTTCAACCAGCCATTAGGGTTTAGGCTAATGAAAAAATTTCAGGCTACGTAACTTGGCAATTTGTATAAAGTTCGTGTAATCCCATGTGGAAGTGGTATCATATTCCGATAACTACTCAAAGTCAAGATGATTCCCTTTTAGATGTTGAGCGCCTATAAACTTTGGTCAGTTTTTCAAGACAAGGCATCATATTACATGAATTCATACCTGTCAAGAACTTTTCAATGACCATTAGGGATGACAATCACTGCGGGTAATCAAAGTCGTCAATTGTCCCAGAAGCCAAAACCATGGGTTTTATGATGTTAGATCTGATTACATCGCTGTTTGAGGGTTGGGGTGTGGGTAATCGATGATAGATACATAGCGTTATCACGATCGTGATTGCAGGCACTGGATGTACGGCCGACGAAAGTCTTCATATCAGTTCCCTATGTAGTTTGTCTACGGATACATTAATCTCGGATTGACAACATCTCGATGGAAGGGACCCCGCATATACCTAAGTATGATAACAGCATGGCCTCTGGAAACAATGAGGTGGCCTTTAATTCACTTTCTACACGCATTCCAGCGTTGCTTCAAAGTCGTTGAACGGAATTAACACTCCTCCGGCCTACACTCTACGCTTTCAGCTATGTATCCAGAACTCCACAGTACTTTAATTCAATAATCACAATAAATACTCTTATTATATCGGGGATATAATACAACGGATATTTTCTGACTATATCCTTCGTTACCGGTATAATTTAACATGTATCCTTCGGGCCGACTTGTACGTTTTGCCGGAATATAGTGTACCTGACATAAACTCCATGTATCAGTCCCGGAGAAGACTTTAGGTATATAGTAGCTTAATACTACTCTTTCATATATCTCTAAATAATTCCTTAATTCAACTAGTCAGTACTAACCATATTTTCTTCCTGTAGACTCAACCCCCGCCAAGCCATACCAGTCAGTCTCCATGCAGCCACCATGCACAGGCAGCTGCAAGGCTTATATAATTCTGCATACGCCAATAACCTACCTCACTGGCAGAAACCTTCCAAACCTGTGCAAACCACCTCACCAACCCTTCGTCTCAAGTCCTTCCCCCAGGAAAAATCCACAACCTCCCTCCACCCATACATACAACCCAACCATGGTGTCTCTAACACGAAGCTCCGACAACCTCGACCTCCTCCTCTATGACGCCGCGGCCACACCTCTCATCGAGCCTCCCGCACCCAGCAACGCCAGCCTCTCGGAAATCCTCACGGAGCTCGCACACCTCATCAACGAGCGTGAAGCCTCCAAACACACCACCGTCGAGGATGACAACGAGGACGAGGTGCCCCAGTATGATCCTGCGGTGATTGGCCAGCTCGAAACTATCACGTCGGAAATGCAGACTATGAATAACCGCCTGAGTAGAGCAATATGGCAGATGGACAACGGCTTCGACGGCGTGGGTATCAGAATGACGAGATTGAATAATAGGTTGTGCGCTATTGAGAATGGGCTCAAGAGCTTGAGGGAGGAGCCGGGAGGGAAAGTGCTGGAGAGGGCGGCGCTGTAAGTTTTGGTCCTGTTTGGGGGGCTGAGTGCGGGGGGGGTAGTTGGTTGCTGTTGATGCTAGCTAGCTGCCTGCCTGCCTATCATATGCTATGTACATATATTGACTGACAAATAATAGAGAGCACAACCGCCGCGCTAGAATCCATAACAGTCGTGTTAAATCACAGGAGAAATTAATGCCCATGCACACGCCTCGTAACGTTCCGGTACCAGGCTTTACCGCCGACACGCCTTACAAGTTGGCAAACGAGCATCAAAATCGTTAGAACCCCTCCTCCTCAACTATTTTTCAAATAAGCTGACCAAAATAAAAATACAGAGGACAAGATAATCGAGTGGCTCGACGCCCTTGATCTGAGTACCGAGAGAAAGGGATGCCACATGCGGTTGACGGAGTTCGTAGGAGTGCCCTGGGACAGAGTTTTAGACAATATGGAAGTCTGGCCAAAGGTTGCTAGCTAGCTACTAAGCTACATGTAGGTTCTATATTGCTTGCTACTGCTTGGTACTGGGAGGAGTTTTTTGTGTTTTGGCTAGAATTGATTTTGGGCTTGGGACGGGGTTTGCACACACTGGCGCAGGGATTTTTGTATGAAATAGCATTCGTTTATTGTATGAAGCCAGGAGGGTTGGCAGGGGAGGGGACTGAAGAGCCCGGATATTTTCTTTCTTTTTTGTGTAACAGAATAAATAATATATATTTCGTCCTAACTATTTCTACACCCGCGGAGAATTTGTACATTTCTGGGACAAGGTCATACAGGAGATGTTGGGTGCCATGGCCTGCGATTGGTTGAATCCGTATCGGAGTGATATAAGTGGCTGGTGATAAGGCAAAAGTGCAAAACGCTGTAATTCGATCACCCTGGTTTCGTTCTCAATGCCTAGCTTCATGTATTTGCATTGCGTCTGGGATCTGACTCCAAGAAAAGGCAGGACGTCTAAAACATATGCCTTGTACCTAGACCACGTTGTTTAGGTGCTCCACTCCCCCGCAATGCAGGCAGTGTTGCTCAGCTGACACAACCGAATTGATACTCTGTTTCCTAGCCTAGCTTGGTCTTTACCTGAATACATGCAACTCATGCGTATGTCGACGTCCAAAAGCTGAATGTTGTCGTCCTGGCCAAGGCCGTACGCGTCCAGTACGGTGAATTGAAGTCAAGCCCACCTCCCCGTCATTACCCGAACCTACAGTTCACCAGACCCCAGAAGCAAGTAGAACCTCCTACCTCCCTCGGGGGTGGTCAGAATCGAGGATCGAGTGATAAACCGTGATCAAAATTCAATCAGCCCGCAACACGGGGCTGGGGCTGGGGAATATAATTAGAGTTGGGGAATAGCATTCGAGATGGATCTCCCGCTGGTAGAGATACAAGCTATGGCTTTCGAATATAATTACATATGCAGCGGTCCGGTGGTCGGTTTGGGTTCTGTCGGATAGTCGTAGCTGGTGTGGGAGAAGATGAGATTTTGATGGGCAGGTGGGCGGGAGGGAGCTAGCTGGCTGGTCCCGCTTCTATTGTAGGTGGATCTTGTTACTCAAAGGCCAGATTTCTGTTACGATCCCCGGGCCGGGGCGGGTGGTAGATGAGTCTACGGTCGGCCCACCGGGGTCGGAGGTCTAGGTATACTCGCACCTCCCGATCTCACCAACACATAAGAAGCGCCTGGGAGTGCTTGAGACTCTGTCAAAACAGGATCCGGCTCTTTACTACCTAAAGGCCATAGATACTATGTGTTCCGCAACATAATCCATATTGCAAGTGGCGCTTGCCGAGTGATAATTCATGATTGTCCCACCCAACACAACAACAGAAGGCCACACCAGAACACACAAACACTGCACACAAAACCGGTAACTATGTGACACCGAGGCCTACAGTTACATTAGAATGGAGAGGTAGGTAACTCTCCTTGGTGACCCTTCGAATCACCCACCTCATCTCGACAGCTGGTGGGCTTCAGCTGGGATAAACCCTCCTGTCCTGGCGCGGTCCATACTAAGCTTTGGAGTGCTTGGGGCCGGCGGGGTTAAATGAGGGGGTGGGATGGAGATGCGGCGGGATGTAGTAGTGTGATGGGCTTTATCTCGGGGTCAGGATGGGGGTGCAGGGAGTGGTGGGGCTGCTTCTATGTGCTCTGTGTGCATGTGTGTGTGGGCTTAGTGACCGGCCGGTCAATCGTATCGATTACTGCAGGAGGTATCACTCGCCCGGGTGATTTTGTATGATGGGCGTCTGGTGCTGTTCTGGGGGCTTTGTCCGGGCTAGCTTGGCGTTGTGTGTTCATTGTAATCGGGGCTTGGTGGTGGTGGTGGTGGTGATGGTGGTGGTGGTTGTTTGGTATGCATATTGGAAGTGTGTGTGTGTTGGGCACAAGCCGAGCTTTAGGCTCGAATACTCAGAGCTCGAGCTAGCCTAAGTCTTTCATTCTTTGCTACTGCTCCTAGAGCTTATTATCTCCCCCAGCAGCCAGACCTACAAGCTTTGTTAGCATAGTGGTCTATGCACCCTGATTTAGGAAACTTATGACGACAGCAGGGAGATCTTGGGTTCGAATCCCTGACGGAGCCGATTCAATATTTTTTTTTTATTTCTTTCTTATTTATATATAGATCCTAGAAATGAAAAAAGTATATGGAGATGACTATTTTCAGCTATGCTAATGGGAGGTCGAGCCATGCTCCCGAGCTCGAACATCCCGAGCCTTCCTTTCCACAATCTAAGCCAGCTCAAGCTCTGTCAGGCTCGTCTGGAACAGGCTCGTGCCCAACACTAAGTGGGTGTGCTTACTGTTAGTAGTACATGTACATACATAGTTAATGTGAGGATGTATTAGTAGTGGGTGCTAGTATTGTTATGAGTATAACTATGAACGCTAGTACTTGCTATTATGAGTATAATTGTGAGAATAATGAGTACGATTATGAGTATAGTTATGAATATTAGCATGAGTGATGTCAATATTACTATGAGTATAATTACGAATATTAGTATTGTAAACAGCACAGATACCAGCACATATTAATTGAGCTACTTGATAATGGTGTATTGTGTAGATCTAAGACAACAAGGGTAGTTATTACAATGCTATGCTATTTCGTCATCATTTCCTAAAAAATAAAGTCTATGGTACAGGAAGCAGGAACAAGCCAAGAAGAAGGAGAAGAAGGAGAAGAACAGGAAGAAGGAAGGGGTATCTACTCAATATCCATTTTATCCACCTCTTCCTCCTCTACTACCATCTTCTCCCCCTCTTCCCCCTCCTCCTCTTCCCCTTCTTCCTCTTCCCCCTCCTCCCTCTCCCCCTCCCGCTGCGTCGCCACCTCCGCATCCCCAACCTCCACATCCCCCTCCGCCCCAACCCCCTCCTCACTCTCCTCCCCCTCCTCCATCTCCTCCTCCGCCTCCGCCCCCACCCCCACACTCGGCGTCATCCCCGCCGGCGTCGCCGCATCACCACTCTCCCCACCCCCCACAACCTTCAACCCCGCCACCGCCCCGCCCTCCACCTCCTCGCCCTCCTCCTCCTCCGACATGCCCTCGCGCCGGTCCTGCTCGTCCTTGTCCTCCTTGATTTGAGCCCACATCTTCTCGAGCTGATCAACGATCTGAACGAACTGCCCGCGCCGCGCAGCCCACACGGTGCGGTAGTCCTCGCGCTCGCGCTCGAGCGCGCTGATCTCCTTGTGCAGACGGTCGAGGTTCACGGTCTGCTCGTCGCGCGCTTTGAGACCGCCGGTCCGTAGGATGTCGGTGGCGATCGCGTCGTAGAGGAGCTTGTTGGCTTTTTCGTTCTGGGTCTTTTGTAGCGTGGTGCGCAGGGAGATGAGGGTGCTGCGGGCGGTGGAGGCCGTTTCGACTATTGCCCCGGGGGGGGGGGTTAGTTAGGGGAGATGGGGAATTGGGGTTTTGGGGGGGGGGGGGGGATAGGGAGGGGGAGGTACGGATATCGCCCTTCTCCTTCTCGTAGCGCTCGACTTCGCGGCGGTTGGTGTCCTTGAGCAGCTGGATGCGCGTGATCACGCTCTCGAAGTACTTGAAGTCGGCGTCGATGTCGTCGCGCAGGCGGGCGGCGGCGTCGGGCGTGAGCGGGGTGTCGGGCGTCGTGAGGCTGCTGCAGCGCTTCACGAGGCGGTTGTAGGGGCGGGCTTCGTGCGCGAGGACGCGGGCTTTGACGAGTGCTTCTTCTGTGCGGGTGTTAGTGGGTGTCTGTATGGGGGGGGGGGGGGTTTGGGGAGGGGGGTGCACCATCTTCGGGTTGGGTGTTGGACATGGTGGGGGTGCGTGTGGAATGGGGTTGATTGGATTGAGATTGGGAGTGGGAGTGAGGTTGGATGGTTGGATGGTTGGATGGTTGGATAGTTCGGCGGTGGTGGCAATGATCGTGAGAGAGCTTGGGAGGTTAGGTTTGTGCTGTGGAGAAGTTGGGAATGATTGAATTCTGGTTGGGTGCTGTGTTGTGGCGGTGCCAGCTGTCGGCAGCCCTTCAGCCACGGCATTGCCGGAGCGAGTCTCAGCGGGTCTGGGGAGTTAAGCTCACACAGCCACAGCCACATCCAGCCAGCCATTGAATCATTCAGACGAGATCGACACAGGAAGAAGAAGTCTTTCTCTCTCTCTCTCTCTCTTTCTCTTCTATTGCATCTCCACCTCTTCTTTTCTTGTATCCACAACAGATAGTTATCTACACACACAGCTATCTGCACCCCCGGGGTAAATGCTCTTGAACCTCTAACCTCTATCTACATATCCATCTACCCTTCTATCCCCCCACACATACTAGCTACATCTAAGCTCTCCACATCCCCCCAACCACACCACAATGCCGGCCCCCCAAGGCCCCGTCAAGAGCCTCTACGCTCTCTGCAAAAACGTCCTCATAAAATACGTCGACAGTGCGTCCCCCCTCTCCCCCGCTTCCACCTCCCCTCTCCCAACTAACCCCCTCCCCCCACAGCAATCGACGACGTCGGCGACATCGACTACCACATCCTGCGCCCCATCCTCCTCAAAATCACCACCCCCAACCAGCTCAAAAAGCTCGAACGCAACTGCCCCCACCTCCTCCCGCACACCTCCGAGATCTGGCACAAGCTCATCACCCGCGACTTCGGCGCCTCCGCGCTCTCGAAGCGCGCCCCGCCCACCAGCAACCCCCACGCCTGGGCCCGCGTCTACGAGGAGCACCTCCGCGACTCCGAGGCCGCGTCGGCGGCCTCCGCCAAAACCCTCCGCGAGCAGATGAGCTCCCTCAACAACGCGAAGGCGTCGCAGCGCGCAAGGATCGTGCAGAGTACGGCGGGCTTGCCTCCGACGGGACGCAGGCCCGGTACCGGCTGGGGCCGCCCGAGTGACAGCTGGGCCGTCAAGGCGGGCAGCAAGACGAAGAATATTGTGCAGAAGGCGCGCAGGGAGGCGAAGGAGGTGGGGAAGTTCCTGGGCAGGAACAGCCGCTTGGCGGCGCCGACGCATACGCTAGGCCGCGCGGAGGTGAATCGCACGATGAGGGAGAAGATTAAGGATCCCGTGGTGCTGCCGGAGAGGGAGGTGGTGGAGAGTTCTACGGCGGCGGCGGGGGGGAAGAGGAGGAGAGAGGAGGGGGAGGGGGGAGATGTGGATGAGAGGACGAGGAGCTGGATTGGGGGTGGCGCGAAGAGGGTCGCCGTGGGGAAGTTGAATAGGCCTGGTGCGGCTGGGGCGGGGGCGGCGGCGGCGGGCGCGCAGCAGCAGCAGGGGAGGCAGAGGGTCGAGGCGGATCCGTTTATGAGACGGAAGCCGGCCGCGGGAGCGAGGAGGTAATTGGCTAATTAGATAGATATGTGGCCGATCTGTAGGCCGAAGGGGCAGAGCTTGATATCTTGCACCCATTTTCGTAATTTCTGCTTTTCTTTCTCCTGTTCTTTGGTATATTGGCGTGTGGTGGTGCTGTGATAGAGGATCCCTTTTCTTTTTTCTTCTTCTTCTTCTTCTTCTGCTTCTTGTTCTTATCGTTTGTGTTAGTTGACTTCCGGATCCGTGTATGGCTGGCTCTGTTTTATAAATATTGAATTCTTGCTTTCTTAGTACTGTGACTTGATTAGTAGTGCAGAGATATACCTGTGAGTTAATAGTGCGTGTTTGCCTCAGTAAATGTGGCTTAATGTAATGCGGTGAATGGTAGCTGAGATCCAGTAGTTAGATACTACTTAGAGTTAATTGCTGCTCTGGTAGTTCAATTTTTATAAATAGTAGCTCCGTCAGATAGAGCCGCTATTTGGGATGCGAAGGTAGGCTTCTCTCAGAGTCTTTGGCTGTTCCCGTCTTGTTACGGGAGTCGAATCCGTCATGGTGATATAGCCGGGTTCGACTAGTAGAAATAGCATCATATACTATCACTCGGTTTTGTTACCGCAATTGCAACATAGCCCAATGCGAGGGAGCAGGTAGCTCTAGGGGAATGTGCTTGGCTGTGGTGATTTGCGTCTCTGGAAGTCGTTATGAACGTACTGCTGTGGGTGAGTTGATATATGCTGTGTTTGTTAACAGCTGATGTTTGATGCTAGCGCTCTGTCTAGGTTTCCCGAACTATAAAGGGGCCCAGTCCCCCCTGAGAGGAATAGAGTGGCGGTGTGCCATGGCATTTCTACCCTTCTCCCCGGGTACTGTCAACTTCGAAATATATATACGGTCTTCATAAAATTCCAGGGCGGGCGATGAGTATAGCTAGTCAGACTCTAGTAAGTTTAAGTTCCTGCCAGCTCCCGTCGGGGGCGGGGAAAAGCTTAGTCAGGGAGAATAATGATATGTCACCGATCTTATAGATTTTGTTATTTTGGGGCATTTCGAATCTCTTCACGCGCCCTGTGCAAATATGACATGTAAGTTTGGGTTGGTCATGGGATATCACCCGTTCCGAGGAGCATCCGTCGGCGGGCTTTTTTTTTTTGCATGCAACCTTACAGTTATGGTAGTATCCGTCGGCGGACAGCTCAAGCGGGAATATCGGGTTAAATGACGTCAGATTCGAAACCCTGGTGCTATTGAGGGGGGGGGGGGGGCTTATGTACGCGCTTTACACGTGATAATCGGAGAGTTTACCTCGTCTCATGCTTTCTAGTCTCTCATCGATTCACGCAACTCTGTACTCCACTATCTCAGTGTCTACATCTCATGTTGAGTGGTGTGGAGACAACACCATAGTACAACTCCACAGTCATCTAAATCCGTGCCGCACAACCCGCACACAAAAAAGACACAGTGCGCACAACTATTAAACCTACACCACGGCGGTTTATCCACCACTCTTGTGGAGAGAATTTGGTGCTGGTCAGGATCTTGCGGGGAGCAGCAAGCTGCTCGTGGGGGAAAAGTACGAGACTCATTGAATACCTATCGGACACAGCAATGTCCCAGAAGACAGCCAGATACAAATGTTATTCGTGGAAAGTCATTACAGTTGCTGTTGACAAATACACTGTTGTCAACTTTTCATCTTTGCCTTGGGGCCATCTTGTTCTCTAAACTGTACATATGTATAAAGAGGGACCTTCTCTCCCTCTTCGGTTTCATCATCGGTCCTCATACACGATGGGTTTCATTCATCAGTTCCACACTTCTCAAAAGATCACCTCAACATATAACAAGAAGTACATGGAGCTGAGCCCGCGCATAATGAACAAACACCACCGGCTCTAATACAGCAAGACCTGCCCGAATCACATAAGCTTGAACATGTCCTAGGCGCCTTTGGAAAGGAGAATCTAACGCAGCAGAAATTCCATCAATATCCACTACTACCGTCTCCTGAAGGGCTAGACGGTAGAGGCGTTCTTAACCAATCGGACAATAGCACAAACGCGAGATGGTACATCCTCGTACGGTCACTCTATCAGCTACCGACAAAAGTACAGAATATTTGAGCAAGGATGCATTATCAATGACAGCTATGTAGTAATGTTGTCCAATTGGCCTTTAGTGATGTGACTAAGACTAGCTTCTAGGGTGTCGGTGTACCGACCTCAATTGTGAGTTGAGGTTTGCACTTCGAATTCATCAACCTTCTGCGCTACGAGCTTTGTTTCGTCTGCCCCAGAAAGAAGAGATAGTGTCGATAAGAGGCCAGTTCTTTAAGCTGATTCTACACTACTTCACGTTTCCGGATTGATCTCGAATGCCCAGACCGGAGTATTTCACCTCTCGGATAGTGGTTATACGAACTAGGTCCTCGCAAAGACGAGGCCTTGTGGACCGAAAATACGCAGGCATTTATGTTTTTCAATAGTATTGTTAACTTCCGTTGCACATTTTAGTACGTCATTTTCAGTCTGCAGTTACACAAGGTAGCAGCTACTATTATTTAGTACTAACCTGAATCTCAATTGGACGGTGATGGGCCATACGAATAACCCTTGAAGCCTATGGTAATTCGTGTATGCATGGTAGCTCGGCAACAGGTCCCAAGGCAGTCCGAGGTCCAGGTCCCATTGACCTAATTTCACTTCTTTTGTCACTGACACCGACACATGTCGGGTCACAGCCTCTATAGTTTGACCCTCCTACATCCGCCAAGGTTTCTATCACAGGGAGTCACTCGACGTAAAAGCACAGCCAAACAATCTTTAACGTACCGTTATGAGGACATATTTGCATATATGTGGTGGTCACCAAAGACCAATATGTATCTAGAATCAGATCGGAAGTACACAGCCAGGTCGAACTTACATGCATGATGTAGTGTGAACAAGAGATATTTTCTGGGCAGAAGCAGGTGGGGACTTACCTCGATATAGTGAGTTCGAGGCTCATGAGCGCAGCATGATATCAGCGGCCCTGTACTGCAGTGCCCACTTTAAATCTTCCTATAACGGCAAGATTCCTCAGACTCGTTATCAGTATCGACGAACCATATGTCCGTTTCCATTCTCCTCGAGCAGTCACAGGGCTCTCTGCAGTGAAACAACTTTGGGAGGGGGCCTCAAACGGCTTCACATTGGTCGATAGGAAGGCTTGAGCCCGGGCCATGCGGGCTATGACATAGATGGAGACTCAGTAATGGTCTAGAGAGACCGGCGCTATCCCTATAAGGAAGAAGATACCACAAATGAGGTAAAAAGTGTTTACTTCGTATTCCTGCATGTCTCGAGCCATGCACAGCAGGACAGGGAGGGGTCCGAGAAAAACCAACATTGGCCTGTTATATGGAAACACGAGCACACCCACTCGCCCTATTCGTGAAGATATTGTCCACTAGGAGCCCGGCTTTGTCCACACAAAGCTGTCAGCTGGGCATTGTCA